CAACAATTTCACTTTCGAGTGATCAGGATCAGCACCACGAATATGGTTACTATTAGCAAACAGGATTTCATCGATGACATTAATGCATATGCAGATCAGATTTACATTTATTGGTTCCCAATTGTAAATGAAACTTCGAACCTTACCACTGACGCAGCCTGAGATGTTCGACGTTAAATTCATTTGAAGTATATGATTTGATTTTCGAATCAGTAACTATTGTGACCACAAGTTCAACAAAATGGGTCTACACAACGACAGTGAATAATACGTATTCCTTTAAAATATTCCTTTGGCAACATTTGAATTTCTTTCGATGCCCTTCGCCTCGCCCATTCTTCTTTTTCGAAATTCTTTGTCTTATTTATTTAACTTCCTATATTTTCCACTAAATCTCTCTTGAATAAAAAATAACAATTACTACTAAGATAATCTCTGCTTCATGTTAAGTGCTTTTACCATTCAAAACTATATTACAACGTATTTGGTTAATGTCGATTCACTTTTTTCAATTTTTTTCCTACTCGCGTCTCGGTTTTTATAGTCCACTTCCGACGCTTTTCGACGATGATCGATGTTTTTCTTCCAAATTACGTGAAATTGTTGAGTGATGAACGCTAAAACGTCGGCCCAACTCTTAGTGAATGATAGCATAGCTATACTGCTAGATTAATCAATATTTTTCAATTGTTAGTCTGGAAATTTGGAGGATCAACCATTCATTGATAGACATTGCATAGACCAATACTGACGACACTTCTACAGAATGTTATCAATTTATGCGCGTGAAATATTTTGCTTTTCGAAGTTTACAAATTTAACTCAGGTTGTTACGAAGTTATTTGAGTTCGTACTGTTTTGTAAAGGAATGACTGTGATATAGTAAGTGATACTTCGTTCGAAAAAGGCAAGACAAACTATCGGATAACTTTTGTAGAGTATGTTAGAAAATGTAGATGAGTCGAATAAATCGAATAAATGCACAAAAACAACGATATTAATGTAAGTAGGTCGAGGAATTGTTAAGATATTCTCAATTATTAGCTTTTTTTGAGAGACAAAGATTGTGCATATTTTAGATTGAAATATCTCACATACTCAGTCATCTATCATTCCTATCTCTATTCTTCATTGCATCACTATTGCTGATCTTTGCAGAAGAATTCCTGGATTTATTTCATTATGTTTTGGATCACTACCGTTCCTATAAACACTGAAACAATGTCTTTATTTCAATATATTGTTTATCTACAAAACAATTTAACTTAACTTGTGATCATTTTGAATTTTTTTCTCTGAAAATATATGCTCAGTTTGACACAAATAAAGGAACATTTTGTTAAATAGATTGGAAATACAACTAAAAGAAACGTTTCTGTCACATAGACAAAACGCATAAAAAACTCCTGACTTTTGAAAATTGTACGAGACATTTTCTGAATCTTTAAAGATCAACGAAGAGGACGACGTTTTTTAGCATCAGTCGAACACACTATCACAATACTATATACAACCTGTATGTTGCTTTTTTAATATTGATTGTATTACGACTGTGAACCATTTGTTTGAAAATGAATGAATATTCGCTGTTCTAAAACCGTTTGCCATATGGTGATATATGATAGTAATACAATTGATATTAAAATTGTGAAAAACGACCATCTATGGATATGAATTCGATTATACAGTCACGACTCTCATCATAAGGAGTAGCTGAGAGACAGTAAAGATGAGTGCAACCACCGATTTGTGCATATTAAAATACAGTTCGAGAGTGTTCTTAAAAAGGTTTCATCGTTATACTTACTAAAGAAGTTCTAGTTCGTACCCTCGACGGTCTTATACTAAGTAAGTGTTTTCTATCTCTCGCAATCTAATTAATTGTCGGCAGACCGTTTGTTTCTCTTTTTCTGTCGATGCTAGTTCGGGAAATGAGCTTCGTCAAAGAATAATATTTGTCTCCGTTTGCGAAATAGTATATTGTCACACATGTTCAAGACTAGATATAAGTTCACAACATTTGCATACAACTTTTACAACAGCGAAACACAAAAGTCTTGTTGTCGTTACTACTATACATCTTTTTATCAGTATTGCGATTTTTATTGAATAAAAAGTTTCAGTCTAATTGAAAAGATCCTAAAACTATGTCCTGCTTATTTTTATTACCGATGATTATCAGATCCGATCTGTTTTAATTTTCGAACTTTGCCATTAGTGGAAAAGGATGTAATCAGCTTCTTTCACACTCGATAATCGAAGGTGAGCAGAATATATTAGAAAGAACCTGACGCCAGTCTCTGAATTTGTACTCAACCCTTCGTCAGCAAAATCTGATGTTTGAATGAAATCGATCTACACGAATGCTCTCGTTTTCAGAATATACATAGATATCCTATTCATCCTTTTAATGATTTGATTTTATGTTGAGCATCGTGAGAAAGATAGGACGCAATGAAGAATACGTCAACGATTCGAACTCTTGCTACTTATAGACAAAAGAGCAGTACTTGCATTCTGTTTTCAATTTGCTCATTTTATTCTTTTTAGATGACATCGAGTGATGACTATGAATATATCGAAAAAGGAAGCATTAATCCACATCTGATATGCAAACTGTGCCAAAATCCTTTCATTGATCCCATCATGACTCAATGCGGTCACATCTTTTGTCGTCTATGCATAAAAAAATACCTCGAGAGTTCTTCATCTTGTCCAGCACGGTTTTGTAATAAACTTTTAAGTACCGACGGCTTAATGCCACATCCTCCAGGTGTTATGTATTCAATGCTCGATAAGCTTTCAATCAAATGCATACGTTGTAAGCATACAAATTTATATAGAGGAGATTTCGATAGACACATCAATAGAGATTGCCAAAGGCTCACAGTGGAATGCCTTAGGAAGAATAGTGGATGTCCATGGTTCGGACATATAGATGAACTGAGCAATCATATGAAAATATGTGTATTCGATAAGTTAAGAGCAGCAGTTGAAAACGTGAAAGACGTGATCCAACAAGGGCGTTCAACTATAGAACAATTCCAAAAGCAAGCGAGCCAACAAAAGATACCATTGAAAGAACAAACAAAACATCAAACGGTTCATTATGAAAGCCTACTTAAAGAGCAGATAACTCGACTAGAGAGGCAAACGAAACAGCAAGTACAACAGCAGATGGTTCCATTTCGAAAGCAAATTGAAGAACAGAAAGCTCAACTTCAAGAACCCACGAATCAGCAGACCAATCAGTTCGGAAAGCAAATTGAAAGGTATAAGACTCAACTTAAAGACATTCAAAGTGAAAATACGGGGCCAAAAAATTATATAGTATGTGTTCATGAGCAAGTCACTTCACTTGCCACAAACTTTCAGAGGGAAAACCAAAACCAACGAGATGTCATGGAACATATCGATCAGCGAACAATACAACTCACAAAGAGAGTCAACAAACTAGAGAATGAAATTCAGCTTCTATGTAAGTAGATCTATTGGTTTAAATCGAATCTCATCAACATAGTGTATTTAACGTTTTTTGTTTGAATTGAAAACATCTTCTTAGAAATATATTTTATATTCGTCATAGTACTTGAAATTATAACGTGCAAAGATTGAGCTAATCGTTAATATAATCATCCAGGGTGATGGCATAAATCTGAATCGAGAGACAAGATCCACACTTCTACTGGTGTTATTACAATCACGCCCACTCGCCCACTCGCACACACCCACACCATCTATCCTTTTGTTTATGTCGACTATGTGATACATTTTGCGCTGATATCAACCAATGATGAGGAAAACTGTTATCTCCCATCGGATGTTTGACAAGTTTGACTGCCTACATTGCTGTAATCAGGAAAATTTCAGTTTTCTCTAGTATTTTTGTAGGTCGGAGTCTGGTGGTTCTAAGAGAAAAAGACGCTTACTATTTTCTTGTCTCACAATTCAAAACTGAAAACAACAAGTATCGTCATAAAAACGTTTTGATCAAGCATCTTTCATCAAACTTATTCATTTCAAGACTCTTATTAGAATTCATTTTTCTCTTCAAAGGATTCGAAATGGTCGTTCTTAAATATCTTCTTATAAGAATAAGAGACGGGATAAAGACTACCCAAAAAGCTCTAGATACGAGTATGCATCAGATTTGAGGTATTCTCATTCAATCGTGTTAGAATATCTCATGCGGAGTTTCTAATGAATCTTGCTAGTTTCTTTCTACCATCTTCGTCTTGCCTAGCTTTTATTTCTCCTAGGTTCCTAATGCGACCATCTCGAAAAATGTTGCAAAAAATACTGATAAAGTCTTAGCTAAACACTCTGCAAATTTGGTTGAGACTTTGAATAGAATCCCGAGTGAATACTGATGGAATCCAACATTCTCGATTCAGAAAACTATTTCACTAAAAACTGAATAACTCCTGACAAGTATCCTATATACTCATAAATATTTCTGTATGTAAGAATTATTCTGAGATTCGAAATAGGATTCTTATAAATACTTCCAGGATTTCTCAAGAAATAAACGTGATTGAGATTAGGGAAGTAATATAGATGTAAAGATCGGTGTAAAATTAGTTTCTAATAAGAAAACATGAAGGTTCATGAATTTACATTCACGGAAAGAACATTTTGAGATTGCATTAAAAAAATGCTTTTGTATCATGAATATATTAAAGAAATACGATCGGAAAACTGCCAAATATCTTTTCGAAAGTTATAACAAGTTTTCTCCAAGAGGAAGTGCTTATTCGTTGTATCTTTTATCTGTGAGAGAAGATGACTAGTTCAACAGCGATTCCTTTTTTTCGTTCATTTTAGTGTTTCCTCATATTCCACCCGACGCCAGATGGACACAGAATGGTGTGACCGTTGCTGGAGGCCATGGATGGAATGATACCAACAATCAGCTCAAGCACCCTCATGGTCTCTTCGTTGACGATGATCAAACGATAGTTATCGCTGACTTGAGCAATCATCGTATCATTCAATGGGAGATGGGTAATACGTATGGACAAGTTGTGGCTGGTGGTCATGGCTCAGGAGATCGATTGCACCAATTAAATGGTCCAACTGATGTATTGATCGACAAAGAGACGAATAGTCTCATTTGTTGTGATCGAGATAATCGACGAGTCGTACAATGGTCTCGCCATAGTGGCACCAATCAAGGGAAACCTCTCCTGGAGCATATTCATTGTTACGGATTGGCTATGGATTATCAGGGATATCTCTACATCTCTGACGAAATAAAACATGAAGTAAGACGATATCAACTTGGACATAAGAATGGAACTGTCGTGGCTGGTGGCTATGGTAAAGGTAATAATCTCAATCAGCTCAACGAGCCAACCTACCTCTTTGTCGATCGACAACAGGCTGTCTACGTATCAGACAACGAAAATCATCGTGTGATGAAATGGAGTATAGATGCAAAAGAAGGAATTGTTGTTGCTGGAGGTAAAGGCAATGGAGATGCTCTAACACAATTGTCATATCCTAATGGACTATTCATTGATACGTTTGGTACTATCTATGTGGCAGACTCAGGTAATAACCGCGTGATGCGTTGGCCTAAAGGAGCGGAAAAGGGCACCGTCATCGTGGGCGGAAATGGTTCAGGAGAAAGAGCAAATCAGCTCAGCGGTCCAAGGAGTTTGTCCTTCGATCGACAAGGCCATCTATATGTTGCCGACCGTCTGAATCATCGAGTGCAACGCTTCTCTATTATATAGACTCATTAACAAGATTGTTGTTTTTTTTATTTATATCAAATAAATCACCCGAATGAAAAAGATATGGTTATTCAAATACGAACGAATTTCATTCCTATTCTCTTGTCACGTATGTACAACCAAACAGTCATGCCAGCACAGGATAAATCAATAGATTCATGAACTTTACACGAATCTGAGAATATCCGATCGTGTGTCACGGACACCAAAAATTAATGCATCCACATTCATCTCTGGTAAGGATTCCTATCCTAACCTATATCCCACCTCATTGAAACTGTTCATATGACTCGTCCAACTTATTCACTAACTACAGTAAAATCCCTCTAATGCGAACACTGCAGGAACCGATGAAAATCTTTCTGTATAACTGAGCGATCGTAGTAAAAGGAGCCAAGCAAAAACAAATTGGAACGTCAATTTTATTATCTTCTGTCTCTCTTAAAGTGTTTCTTGTTATTACAAATATTTCATATACTAATAAGATCGCTTCCAAACAGCATCGGAAGATTCTATGTGAATAAATGTGGAAAGTCTCGGATAGACCGATGTCTGGTAATATTCGAATCTAAATAGACATTGATGAATTTTAATTGTAGTTGTGTAACGGATGGATATAAGTCGATGTGTCATGTAGTTAATAACAAATGTAAACGACGAACCATGTTAAGTGCTTCGACCAATGATAGTAAGTGTTCAATACTTAAATCTTCATCATGGGGCGTATGTTCAATTGAAAATACCATCACTTGCTAAAGTATTTCCACTAGCATTATTACCATTCATCGATTACTAGTATATTGTCAGTCACACTTTGGAACTTTTAAGGAAAAAATTATAAAGACTTTGACCATATACATTTCAAAATGATGATTAGAAACTCACCGCAAAATAATTAGATGATATGATGTTTCCATCAATAGTTAAAGTCTTGAAGTACCTTATTAAGTTCATCTAAGAATGTATTTTCTTATCGAACAACATTTTCGTTGGTAAATTTTGTTTTTCTCGAGATTGAATCTGGAAAATTAACAGCAATCTCGAAGTCAGCTTCTTTAGGTGTATTTCATAAAGCTGTTGCTGTGATGGATCTCAAAACAGAGTTGATCCAACAAACAACATCATCAACTGAACAAGCGGTGTTACTATTAGCGATCAAATGTTCAAGTACGAGTGTACGATAAGGAGTTTTGAACGTGTGAATCATATGTTGATCCATATGTTGTATAAGAGCTGTTGTATTACTTGAGAAGAATTAGAGAGCGATGTTCTTTAACTTGATATTGACTGGATGCACAGCTGTATTGTCTGAGAATATCAAGAATTTACATTTCTATTTTTTTGATCAGTGCATTGAACTTATACTATCAGCTAGTAAAGATGTTGTTATTCATCTGTGCGATTCGATTGTGGCACCCAGCAACAGATAATTTAGCTATATCAGCGTTTTTGAAACATCTTGGCTTTACAACTTTACCTAAAAATAGTGAAGAGTTAGCACCTTTACAAGAAATTATATAACTAAATGATTATTCACGTATTACTAACAGTTTTAGTTTAGCTCGTGAGTGTGAAAGTAAAGTAGTTCTTATTTTAACTACCTCGCTTCCCTTCTCCGAAGACCACATGTCATTCACCTTATCCATTTTCACACAGCCAACTGACACTCACACCCAGACTCACAGTTTCGAACATCATTATGAATCGGCATCAAAGATCCAAATTTATTATCGAAATATGAATTAAAAAAGCCTTTTTCAGGTGATCATCATCAACTTCATAGTGGTTAACATCGATTCACTATATTCATTCGTCGTCCTTATTATTGTAAACAGCAACAACCATATAATCATTATTCATCTTAAATTATTGATTTAGTTTCATTTGTTATTGCGTCGCAAATCAAATGAAGCGCAACGAAATAACATGAATTAACAACTAATAAATATAATAGTTGAGTTAATCCTTTGTTTCACTCTATATTTCTTGCTATTTTTGTTCTCTATCTATACAAGCACGTGTGAAGACGACTCATAACTTAATTTTTAAACTAGTTTTTTGTTTTGAGTTTAGTTCTCATTCTATTATCCATTTATTCTTATATGTTTTCTCTCTATATACATACAGAACATTGTTAGTTTAAATACATTACGATTTCTTCTGAAATAAACATCGTATGTAGTATCATATGCAGTCTTATGTATATATATATATGTAAGAAAGAAGCAGAGAATGAACGATAATATACACATCAACAAAGAGAAAGAGAGAAACGAGCAAAGATGAAAAACAATCCTTCACCTTTGCCTTTTTTCACTCACGTCAGTTTGGTTTTTAGTGCAAATATGCGTGTGTGTTCATTATCTTACAGAAGAAAAATAAGAAGTATAGTACCGCATCCCTGATACATTCTACAACTTTCATCCATAAAGATGATTCATTGATAGTGAAACTATATAGAAAAAGAAATAACTCCCTACAGAACGAAAAGTGCTATTCGTAAACAAATATTTGGGATTTCGAGAAAAGTATATTTCTTTTATAAATACAGGGTGTCCCATAAGTAACAAGACAAGGAAAAAAAGTTTGAATATCTCCATTAGGGCTCGACCAAATGGGCTCAATTTTTTATCAAGGATAGAGGCATCTGCACACTCCAAATCCATACGAACAAGGTGAATGAGAACCTTTGTTAAGTATCGCTAGTGACCTCAACAATAAAATTTTTGCTTTGCCACTGGTAAGAAAAAACCAATATACAGGATAGTGCAAAAGTCACTTTATCGAAAAGAAAATTAAATATTTCCATTACGGCTCGAGCAACCGAGCTGATTTTTTTACCAAAAATAGAGGCATGCTTATACTTCAAATCCATACAGACAAGCTTAGTGAGGACCTTTGTTAAGTATATTTTTTTATTTTCCTGTCTGTGAAAAAGTAAAAATTTTATTGTTGAGGTCAATAGTGATACTTAACAAAGGTTCTCATTCACCTTGTTCGTATGGATTTGGAGTGTGCAGATGCCTCTATCCTTGATAAAAAATTGAGCCCATTTGGTCGAGCCCTAATGGAGATATTCAAACTTTTTTTCCTTGTCTTGTTACTTATGGGACACCCTGTATTCTTTTATTATTGACATTTCATTAAATCTTTTTTTATTTTATATACTCTACATGTCTCAAAATTACAGGGTATTATTTTTATTCCAATATAAATTTTTGTTGTATTAATTCCGAATTAAGTGAAACTATCAATATTCTTTATATAAAGAAAATAGGATAATATATCATCAGATATATATTTTTGAGAAATAGTATGCTAGAACAACTCAATATGAAAAACAGTCAAAGGTCAGGTTCGATCCGAAACATACTGAAACTTTGGCAACAGAGTACCTAGAAATACTGTGTAATAGTATCTAACTCAGTACATTCTCTAGGGATTTACTTTCCTTATATTTATAAAGAATGTTTATACTGTGACTTTCAAAAAAAAAGACTTTGTTGTACATTTCAATTAAATCTATGTTTTCTCTCTGTTGAGTATTTTTTTTTCTGTGCATCGCTCGTTCTTTTAAAGCTCTAAATGAGATTATTATACGATATAATAAAAAAAATAAACAAATAATGTTTTTTTTAAGTTTGACAAAATATTACTTTTATTTATTTCTTAGAACATAGAATAAATAAATAAGATCATTAGTTTATCAATACAATACACAAAACAAGATATTAAATTTTATCTCGCATCTTCATCGCTACCATCAACATTCATTTCAACAAGAAATCCTCCATTAACACTTTTACATCTGGTAACAAAATCTGGTAATTGATTAACCATATATGAACGACGCATTGATATTTGTGATGACGGTGATGATGATGAACCTGTTTCATTACTTCCATGATAACCATGATCCGAACTATGATTATCTATTTTTTCTTGTTGATAATAATGCATATAATATTCATTATCTTGAGGAATATGAAGAATTCTATATGTTCGAGATTCAGGTGATGAAGTATCAACTAAAAATTTTTAAAAGTTAATTAAACAATATCTTAAAATAAACAAAGATATACCTGTATAAGAATTTGATGAATGTCGATCATAATATTTCTCACGCAAATAAACTGGTTTTATTTGAACAATATTTGCTATATGTTGATGTTCAATTGAAGATGTTGTTGTATTTGTTGTTGCTGTCGAGCCAGATGATGTTAATTGTTGTGATGATGAACATAAAAGTTTGTTTCGTGTTATGATAGCTGCTTGATGTTGACGACGATGTTTTCGAAGTAATATACAAGTGATAAATATGCATAAAAATAATCCACATGTTATTATTAAAACTGTTAAGCCTAAGATAAGACCAATAGCTTTTGAACGAGAATATTTTAATTGAATTTTTTCAAATGTTGAAAATGATGGTATTGATGAATCACCAATAGCAATGATCAGATCAATTATAGTTTGTTGAGACGGCATACCATTATCTTCTATAATAATAAAATAAATATTATTTTGAGAAATGAATAAAATATTTCATATCTACCTAATAAAACTTTTAATTTAAATAAAGATATTTCATTAATTTGACGTGTCATTTGTAAACTACCATTTTGATAAATAATAAATAGAGAATTATTTTCATCGGTTAGTAAAGTATATTTTATTTTTCCATTGGCGTCTGAATCTGAATCTTTAACATTTAATAGAACGATTTCATTCTTAAATGGTTTTTGTAGGTCAATAAAAATTTTTGTTTGTTTATCATCAATCAATTCAGGTCGATTATCATTTATATCTTGAATATTTATTTCCACTTGACAAGCATTTTGATTTTGATTTTTTTTTGGAAAACCTTGATCTTCAAGATTAATTATTAATAGATAATTTTTAAATTCTGATTCATAATCAAATAATTGTCGAGAATAAATTTCACCTGTTTTAGAATTTATTTCAAATGGCCATGAAGAATTTATTTGTAAAGAATAATTTATTGTTCCATTAAAATCATAATCAAAATCAGTTGCATTTATTTTAATTAATGGTAGATCAATAGAAAAATTTTCCGAAATTGATATTCGATGATAAGATATTAAGCATTGAGGTATATTATCATTGACATCCAAACTATAAATTTAAATTTTGATTAGAATAGAAAAACATCATCTTAATAAGAGTTTAAAAATAGTAGAAATAAAGTGATCGATATCAACAAGAGTCACGTTTCAGAAAGATGAAAACTTGATGAAAGTTATTCATTTCAAAATAGATTAATAATATGATGTGTCAAAATAGAAAATAAGAGCAACCTATGCCCATTATTGCCCTACAAAGAGTTTATACACTCTTCATTCAGAATGCTCGTACGCTAGATAGAATAATGACGTGAATAGGATATTATTATTGAAATGGTTCACTTGACCGAGGTGTATCCATAATGCGATTTTCCTTATAAATATCTTAGTGTAGGTTAGAAAAAAAAACAGAAAAGAGTCATTACTACAGAAAAACAAAACATGAAAATGCATCCTTAGATGCTTCTTGCTCATCTTATCGAACCTTACATGCGAGCAAAATAATAGGTCAATCAACAATTCATCATTGTAAAAGTTTCCTCATTAAACAGAAGGTTATAATCGATGAATTCAAAAACTCGTCCGACATTCAAGAAAACTTACACATGAATTTGAATTCGAACATCAGTTTCCCATTTTGGTTCAATAATATTAATTGCTTTTGCTTTTAATTCAATTTTTGATATTTGTTCTCGATCTAATGGTTTTATTAAATATAATCGTCCAGTATCAGCATCAATATCAACAAATGAATTTAATTCTAGTTCATATTTATTTAATGCATTTTCACCTTCATCTCGATCAATAGCATTTAAATAACCAATTGTTAATTGATAATTTTCAAGTGCATGTTCAGGCATATGATAATTTGCTAATTCTTCAACATAAAATTTTAATACATTCGATGGAAATTCACTTGGATTGTCATTTAAATCAATTAAATATATTTTTATATCATAAATTGATGTTAATAAAGTATCAGTAGCTATAAAACGAAGATTTATTTCTGATTGAATTTCTCTATCAAATAATCCTTGTTTAACAATTAATGTATATGAATTAATTTGATTGGATAAAATAAGTTCATAGTCTTGTTTAGGATTTTTTTCTAATATTATTAATGAAACCGAAAGTTTTGTTTGTTCGGAATCACGATCATTTAAACGAATGTAACCTAATGTTAAATTATTTATATCTGTATTCTCATAGATATATAATGCTTGATTATCATATTGAAATTGTCGATTTGGTAGAAAGAATATTTCAACAGGACAATCATTTACATCTTTTATTGAAATTGAAAGCCAAGTATCAGTATATAAAGATTGTGGTAGACCAGAATCTGAAGCACGTATTAAAAAACGATATGAACGAATTGTTTCATAATCTAACGACGAATTAAGACTAATAACTCCAGTTGTTGAATTTATTACAAATGGAAATGAAGATATATCTGATGAAATTATAATTGAATAATATATGAGACCATTTAAACCTTTATCAATATCAGTAGCTGATATAGTTAATAGTTTAGTACCAATTGGAGTATCTTCCGGAAGAGACTAAATGTTTAAAATATGTTTAAATCGAATGACGGTTCATGATCAAAACTTACTTGAATGGAATATTCAGTTTGATTAAATTTTGGTGCATTATCATTTTCATCTAAAATCCAAAGTGTTACTTTTGTACGATTAGATTTAACTTCTGAAATTCCATGATCATGTGCTTCAATAATTAAATCGTATTTTTCATTTGTTTCTCTATCAAATGAACGTTTAACAATACCATATATAGCATATTCATTTGTTGTTAATTTTATTATATTTAATTCAAAATAATCATTATTATTAAGAAGTTTAAATGATAGTTGACTATTAATACCTGAATCATAATCAATGGCACGCGCTATTGGAAAACGATGACCAATTTGAATAGATTCAGATAAGAAAATATTTTTTTGAATATCCAAAAATTGACAAGCATGATCATTTCTATCAGTTATTGTTATATTTATAGTTGAAAATATCGGTGAAGTTTTATCATCATTCGATAATAATTCAAGAATAAATGAACAATAATCACATGAACAAATATTTTGTGAACACCAATAATCACGATCAATTATTTTTGTTAAAATTAAATTTTTATTATTATTTATTAAATTAAAACTTGATTGAAAATTATTTAATAATTCATATGAACGTGAAAATTGATAAATTGTTTCATTAATAGAAGATTTTTCTTCAATTTTTATTGAATAATCGAATGTAGCAACAAATGGGAGAAAAATAAGAAATGTAAACATCTAAAAATAAAAAGAGAAACAACTGAAGATATACATTAGTCAATATATTTAAATGAACATTTCAAGTTACAGATGGATCAGATAGAAGCATTTTTATCGGCCATTAATTCTCGGTTACTTTTTTTTTCTATGTCTTGATCAATCGTCTACTTAGTCTCTCCCGCTTTCTAATAATAACAACACCTTTATATCGAAATGAACTGACTTTTCGATCCATGGGTCATTTTCTATACACATATATAAAAAGATAGCTTGAGGCCTGTTGATTTCCGCGCGTGTGTTTAAACCATAACAAAAACAAGATGTGTTCAGATGCTTTCTTTTTTGTTTCTCTCTTTCGAGACAAAAAAAACGAAATTGGCCGCTCCCATTTGTTTCTTTTGCTTATCGTACAAAGACATATGCATATACGATTTGATGGTGCATTTGCCCTTTTCTTTTCTCTGATGAAGATGTACATTGAATGCGTCTGTTCTGTGTTAAAACAATATTTACACCTCATCTTCTCGTTCTACAGTCGGACCCCTATTCAAAAACTTATCATCTTTCATAAAGACAAAGAAAGACTATCAAGGCTAATGACCGGAGGAAATTATTCTCAAGGACATCCGGTCAATGAACATAGGAAAGAAAACAATAACTGTCTGTTCATTTTATCATGATTACCATTTTGGCATCAGCATCGTCATGACATGAACCTCAAGGCTATAATTAGTGAAAAGCGATCTTAGATGGGAGGAGCAAATATAACAATAAAAGTTAAACTTATGTCAAAGAAAGAAAATTGAAAATGAAAAGACAAAAAAATCGATAAAAATCAGAACATTTTTTTCTAATAGAAACCTATCAATTATAATCTTGATGTGTTCATGTAAGGTTTCGTGCTCTCTCATGGAAACTCAAGAGAGTAAAACGATTTGAGCCGACATAATAACACTTTCGTGACTGTTCAAAAGATGATAAGAGTATATAGTGATGAAATCTTACAAATAGAACACTTAACTTATGTTAATTTCAACATTGTATTTACCAAAAAAAAAAAACGTAAATGAAAAATTGACTACAGTTCAAATATTTTCTTTTCTCATATACATTAAAAATGTGTCGATATGAATTAATTCTCAATTCTTAACGTGTTCACATTATCTAGTACTGTTTAAAATCAATGGTACCGTTCATATTTGTATAAATCAAATGAAAGGTCGAATAAATCTACACCTTCTTTTTTTCGTTGTTTCAAATGCACAATAATGATTCGAGTCATACATAGAACTACTAGCAAACGCATATATATATATATATGTCTTCTTTAGATTATTCGAACAGTTCAAGTATATCTGTTTATCTTTCTAACTGTGATTGTATTTGGACAAGGTGAATAGAACTAACATACCTTACTGATGATGATTATGACGTCGATGTTCATTATTAATACCAGTATCGGATATGTATTTAGTATAGTGTATGTATGGATATGAACATAATGAAGGAAGAAGGATGTTTTTTCTCTCTCTCTCTCTCTCTCTTTTTTCTTGTTCGTTTGCTTAATGGATGAAATGACCAATGGGCAATCGAAAACAGATGGTGAATGACGAACAAACATTGAAGAGAAAAAGAAATGATGATTGCATCATGGGTGTGCACGAGAGAGTTGTTTTTCACTCAATTAGAAGCTGCTGGTGTTCAAATTGTTATTTCAAGGACTACAAGTTAATTGTTCATTTTGTTAGATTTTTTTTTTAAACTTAATTTGCACCAGACTATCTCTTTTTCTCTGTTAATCATTTGAATATATTTCAAGAAAATAAAAGAAGCTTGAGAAAAGTATGAAATCACTTTGTTTGATTCTTTTTGCATTTCTAGAAGATATTTCATCTGATTATTAACTCAATTGGTTCATCTATTTCACTTGTATATTGAGTATATTAACAAGTGAAACTGAGAAAAAACTATAACAGATTATAATTGGATATGGTCTAATTTGAATCAATTAGAGATACTCAATGAAAAAAACAAAACAAAACAAAACAATATAATAAAATTGAAAAAAATTAATCATGTTCGATGAAAACGAAAACAGGCAATATGAAGAATAGATCAAAGCTACTAAATTATTTTTTATTATCTTTATTTCGAATGTAAAAACAACAGATGTGGTGCTTATCTCAATCAAATCATAGAATGTATGATACTGGACAATATTGTTTTCTCTTATTCTCAAGAGGGACAAGATGCATGTGTCAATGTCTAGACTCAATCCATGACGGACGGCCCCTTGCGGTGTTTTCCAATCATACATATATATATATCATACTGTGCTTAATAAATTCTTGATGATCTTTATTTTCTTTCTCCCAAGAATATTACTATCGTTTTAATAATAAAACATTTGTCGAATAATTATACAGACAGAAAAAACGGTTATAAGTGATAAGATAGATATAATTATGACAACATTCATTTATTTATTTTTTATAGATTTTTTTTCAATGGTCTTCACACATGATTTAATCGTGTGTTGAGTTTCTGACACACTCATCTGTTTACCTTATATTCAGTCTTTTCACACTTAGTGCTGGATGATGGAGTGAAGAGTCCATCACATATTGACACTCATCCATATTGAAAACGTTTAATAGTTCGCGTGACAAATTATTATCTCAATCATCAATTTCATCATGATAAAATTTAGTTCTTTTTTTCATTCCTATGATCTTCATAGAATAATAAGACAAAAATTTACAAATAAAAAATACTTCAAATAATAGAAAGTACAAGTTTGTTATTTCTCTGCTCAATTCTTAGATAACTTCTAATTGATATCTTATTTTATATATTTAATTGGGTCTATTGTTTTGCCTAAGATCTTATCATCGTTGTTAGAAAGAGTCAGAATTATAATTTTGAAACATCAGATGCATAAATATATGAGCAGAGAAAATTTGTTTCAAACTTTCAAAATTCGATATTCGTGAGTAAAATAAAAAAATATTATTCCTTATACGATTGTCATACTTAAGAAATAATTGATTGAACTGAAATATAATTTTTTTTTTATAATTGAATTGAACATTATGAAACTTTAGTTTTATACTAGTGAGCATTTTTCTTGACAGAGAAACGATAACAAAAAGAACATTTGACTGTGGATGATTTTCACTAAAAGTAATATGTATATTAAATATTAAATGTGCTAAATCACTGCTTTTCTTACAGATATATTGATGTATCCATTCTTATGAAATGAAAGTCATAAAATATTTTTCATTATTGGGAAATCGTATAAAACTATTGATTAATACTCTGTAAACAAATAGATATTGTTCTTGAAATTCTTCAACAAGTAAATATCAATGATTTTTATTAAGATATTATTATCGTCGTTGGTCATTTTCTTATTAACAGAAAAAGTAAATGCATAGGTGCAACATTGATTTTAATTTATCGAGCTTGTCATTAAAGGAAAACACGAGAAAAAAACAATAACGTAATACATTAAAATTATGCTTGAAAAATAAAACCAATAATTTAACTAGTATTAGTTTGTGTTTTACTCTATTCATTCTTCAATAAAACATAAAAGATGTTTTTGTCAACTGCAATTGACAAAAACATTATGTAAAATAATTAGTTACAATGATTTGTCAACAAGGAAAGATCAGTAGTAAAACACGTGGAGCATGCTGTTAATACTATTAGTGTGATACGGATTTGGATCGTTTTATTTTTCGTATTCATTCTGAAAGATATATGAGTCGTCAGAGGTAATATCAGCTTCATCTTTTAAATCATATTTTGACCTAGCGCGTCAATTTTCGAACCAAAACTGTAGTAATAATAGTCAAATACTAAAGAAAGATTACTAATCAACGGAACAAAAAAGTGATATGACAATGATGATGAAGAAACAATACAATGATGACAAGGATAATCAATCATTGATTTATCCATGAACAACAAATAAACTAATGAGATAGAAGAAAAGACGAAATATCAGTTTCGAAGAACGGCAATGCTCAATTAACAGTCAGTTATGAAGCATCTATCATAAAAGAGAAAATTTCATTGTCTCATAAACGCATAGAAAAACGATTTCTTTGTTTATCACGTACGTATATGTGGCATAAAAAAACGAGATGAAGTTACTAAAATTTAGTTCTTTTAATCATTGATGAACTCTAGTATACTTTTTATTTATTCTTTTCTCAAACGTTTCAAGAATAAATGAGCCTAGTGAAATAAGTCTCCATGCTTGATATTCTTCACTCTTCTTGTCACTTAGTCAATGTTTATCCTTCTTGTCACGAGGATAATTACTCAATGAATGTTTAAGGAATAAATCAGCTAAATGTAATGGCGGTCGAAAGCATTTTAATGAAGCATCACTTTGTTATCTAGAGAAGCATGATCTAATGTACGACTATTATGAATCCAAGCTTTAAAAATAAAGACTGCTGATTAACATATTTCTTTAGCTCTATTTTTCAATAATATTAATGAGTAAAAATAAAGGAAATTATTGACTGATTCTTCATTTGTATAAAAAGATTTTCATCATCTTCTATTTTTCTATTTTTTCATTCTGTGCTCAAATGTTTCATGGGGTCTTTATCATTTATTTCATGTAACAAGTTTTGTTTCCATTTTAAATTTTATTTTGTGTAGACTTTCATCTATTTGTATATATTGTGAAGTTGATATTGTATGATTGATACGTTCATACCATTCGGCTTGACAATAATCAATTATTACTTGTTCACTCACCGATAATACTCGATTATGTAGATGTGAATAATCTAAACAATTTCGTATTGCAACAAAAATTGATTGTGTATCTTGAAACCTTATTACAGTTCTTTCAACGAGTTGTTAGTCTAGTTCAATTAATTTTGGTCGTACACGCAATGTTCAAACTTTTAAGTCATAGTCTTATAGGTCATCTCATAATTGAATGTCGTTTGAATTCATATTGCAATACACTTGAATAACATTATTCTATATATATTTTTTAATGGTATTTCTTGTACTTATATTTCTTCATCCTTATCAATTTTAGATATTGAAGACGGAAGAACAGATTCTCTTACATTATTTTCGAACTTATAAAAATGAAACGATTAGTCTAAATTTGAACTATCTAGAATACAGTAAATATATCTTCTAAACGATTCATTTCTTACGTTTTATTTAAATCTAATGTGAAACATTCTTGAAAGTACTAGAGAGATGTTTATATACAATCAGGATGATAGTTGAAGTCTTGTTGATTTGCAAACAATTCGATAACAAGAAAGCATTTTAAATCATTTAAATTAATAGCAATGAATAGAACAGTATTATAATAAAAAAACTAACTTAAAAACCATTGGCTATTTTTACGTGGTTAATCAAACGAAAAGAATTAAATGACATTTCTTAAACATATAGGAGGATTTCCAATGATATAAATATAATAAAGAAAAGCTAATATAATATTTTATTGATTCTACGCTGAGTTGAGATAATCAGCATATAAATTCACTTCATCCATTCTCGACATTGTCAGTGTGAAATGTTTTCGTTCATAAAGAGTGTAACATAAATTCTGATTGCCTCATGAAATATTTTTTTTACATGTAATAAATCAATAGAACGTGACATTTTTTAAATGAAAATACAAGTAATAATTGAACTGATAGACTTCTCACGTAAACAAAATCGATTAAGTTTGTAAAAATGCAAGACACAGTGAACATCAACTGTACACTGATATGAAATTTATTGTTCGTGCATGTGAGTTAATAAAAAGAGTTATATTCGATGCGATTCAATTGCGATTTCTGTTATGATTATAATATTCTTATGGAATTAGATATTGACTTATCCTCTGAAAGTTCTAGAAATTCATCATAGATTGTGGAGAAGTCTTTTAAAATTGGAAATCATTATTATGAATTTCAAACCAGACTTTGTAGGAATCATGTCTATACGTTTATCTCATAAGTGTCTTTTGTTTTTTTTAGAACAGTCGATCTTTTTTGGGGCTATGAAAAGGCCTATATTCAACAGCAAAAAGAAAATTTAATAATATTAAAGTAGAATTGTCCGAATATTTCTGGAGGAATATGTACCCAGTTTACTTGAATGATTACATTCACGTTCAATAGCTTCATTTAATGAATTTCGAATCTGAATAGATAAATTTGGGGTAACATTTTGGCGTAATTTTAATAATTCTTCTCGAGTGTAATGATACCTTGATTTTTTTGTTTGAATAGAAATAGGTTTTCGTTGTTCAATAACTAATAATGATTCAAGTAAAACAGCAGAACCTTCAACATTTTCAGCCATTGATAATAATTCACGATGATAGAATTTAGTATATTTTGAAGAAAAGGAAATATTTGAAAGATGCATAAGTCGTATACGAGAAGCCATTTGAGAAATATGTGAACAAAGGGTAAACATACGATCCATTTCTTCATTAAGAACTGCTGAAGAAGTTGCTGATAAAGTTGTCGTATTAGACATCAGTATAACGTATAATGAAACTACACACTTTTTTCAAACTAAAATGCAATAATTGACAAGAAAAAAAAATATGGTTTATTCCCTTATTTGTTTTATGTTGGAGATTTGATAGAATGATTGAGATAAAAAAAAAGGCGTCTTTCTTTCATCGAAAAAATCCCTCAGTCATAAACATGTTAGACAACAATATCAAGTTCTTTTTATTATTTCTTCCTGTGAAGTCCACATGTGTGCCTCATATTTACCTGTTGCAATAAAAACGTAGTAGTCAGTGATAGCTGATGAAAGAATAAAAATAAGAGAAAAAACACTTCTGGTGATGTATTTATACCTTGCTGTTTTTCGGCAAAATTTAATTTCGTTTAGAATTCAATTCATAAACAACATTAAGATTGTGTCCCAAAAAAATTCAACTTACGAATAAATTTCTTTCTTCTTTATATTGTCTATATATAAACAATAACTAAATATTAATGTATAACGTTGTGCATGTGTTTATACTTAATGATATACTTTGAATACTTTACTCGCGTTTAATGTTACTTATTTTGATAATTTGCGGCGTAGAATGAATATTATTGAATTTAATTTAATCTGAACCTGAAACTTTCTATATTCACGAACATGAGATATTGAAACTTTGTTGTTTGACGACTGATGGATAATTAATCTGAAGAGACGATATTCAAAAAGGATGAAATAATAAATTCAACTTGATCGCTTTTATACATAGTTGCATGTCAAATTTAACTCATTTTTCATAGGCAAGAAAGACAATAAAAAAAAAAAAGAAATGAAAAACCTATTCATAAAAATACAAATTAGTATTATAAATTCGGATCATTTAGTTTTGAAAAACGAAACGCTAAGCAGTTATTTTAAATCATATTGAATAATATCATCCTGATTCTGTTTGCATAGAAAATATAAGTTGTATTTCTCTTATCCATTAGTATTGCTACTGAAAAACAAAAACAGTGAAATGATGAAATAATTACATAAGGTTTTTGATAAAAAGAATGTCATCATTGTAGCCGGTTTTGCAATAGTATCACGATTTAGGCTTTCCGACATTAGAAAAAAACAACTACATATAAATTATCTGATTGAAAAAATTTTCTGAAACAGCACTATTTAAAGTTTTCTTGTAATAAAACAATAGAACAAACTTTATTCTATACTTGTAAGGTACCTTATTGGGCACTCTATATAAGTATCTAACAGCCTACAATGAAAATGCTTTCACAAGTTAGCTAATGGATTGATCAGACATATACTATTTTCATATACTCAAGTATTGAAAAGTACCTATGACATATTGTTAAAAAGGAATTTGTTCGGATACTTTCAAACCAGTAATTTCGTTAAAGAGGGAAGGTCTTCAACCGATAGTCGCTTTTGAGTAGAGACTATGCATATTATATACTTAGAACATACGACAAGTAGTGTTGTCATTATCTTATTTCAATATGAAAACTTGAAGAAATTTGCTTTGTTAGTGTAGTAATAAAGAAAAAACGCTCTATTTTTCTATGATATTTTCTCACTATTGAACTAATATTGTAAGGATATTATTACAATAAGAACTATTTTTCTCGTAAAACATAATGGATGTATTCATGTTATTCGAAAGAAAGACTAAATGAATATTTATTGAATAATCTTTCATAGAAACAGGATAGAGAGTTGCGATTTCGACCGTTTGAAAGAGGATATGAAGATGTATCGATTAGTATGCTTCAGATTCTTCTGTCTATTGTTTTTAAGGTTTTCAATCGACTTCTTTGAAAATGAATCTATTTCGCCAGGTGCACACGGCAAATCTTTAATTATCAAGTGCGCATTCAAACCGTCAAGAGAAGAACTACAAAACTGCATAAGGTTGACACATTTGAAATTAATTTTTCAGGAGTCGTAGGTATCCTAGCGGAAGCTCTAAGTAGTTTTTCTAGCAACCTCTGTGAAAAAAAGGGTTTCTACTGTTTGCTTTTTAATAGAAAACTATTTTTTTGGCACTTTGAAAATTGATTAAAGGAACTTTGGATAACATATTTGGAGATCCCATAGTATACAAATCGATGCGTCTTCATATACTCTTTCGAACGGTTGAAATCACAGCTCTTTATCTTGTTTCTATGAAAAGTTATTCAAAAAATATTCGCTCGGTCTTTTTCCGAATAGCATTCGTACAATCATTACATTTTACAGAAAAAAAAACAGTTCTTATCGTATTTTTATTATTACGATATTTGTTCAATAGTGATAAAATAGCACGGAAAAATAGAGCGTCGTTTTCGCTATCATTACATAAAAAAGAAACTTTCTTCAAGATTTCTCTATCGAATAAGATAATGACGACACTACTTTTCGTATGTCTTAAGCAGATCCAAATGAATTATGAATACCGTGAAAAGAGTGCATGTTCTCAGCTTATTGCTGTGAATACGCTGCACTTATATGATATCTTTTTAGATTGAATGTCGTAGTTCTCTTCAAGAGTACTAGAAAAACTGGCTTTCGACTTTCCACTTGGAAATTTGTATACAGATAGTTGTTAACAAAAGTAGTTTATTGTGAATGCTTCAGATCTTGTCAATGTGTCTATCTTAAGATACAACTATGATAATAGTGTGTCTGGGTCATCGCTCATATAAACTGGTAAATTTGATATTCTTAATTCAGAATAGAAACAAATTAAAAGATCCGAACCTACTCTTTTAAAGACTTGTTTTCATGTAAAGTGTCCAGTGGAAAGTCGAACATTAGTTTTCCTGATGCTCCTGAAAGAGGACTACGAAATTCATTTTAAAAAGTACAATAAAAATATAGTATCTTCGCCATAGTAAGCTAAGGACTGAGACTTTTTTCAGAGAATTCATAGCTCATTTAAGTCTACATAATGCATGTAGTCTCAACTCAAAAGCAATTGATGAGTTATGGTATCATTCTCGATGCTCTTATAGCCGCTTTTTATTCTTGGAACAAAATATCCATATCACAATGTTTTCTCTTACAATTCAACCTTGAATATCGGATAGTTCATTATGAAATACTTATATACAACACACAACATTCTCATTTATTTAAGATGCTGTTTCTATTGCATCTAACAAGTATAACTACAAAAGTCGCTTTTAAGCATTATGTATTACATGAGATTCCTTATTAATTAACTCAACATAAGAATCGAGATAAAAAAAAAATGTTTTTCATCATTTTTATCGTTGTAATGGTAGTTGCACTAATGTTGTTGATGTTGTATTACTTCTTGATGATTGTCGTCTAATTATTATTTTCGTCATTATTCTTTGTTTAATATTATTCCAAAGTTTTTGCGAAAATAAAAATCCAAAACAAATAAATACTCCTGGAAGAGAATTGATTATCTCAAATATAGTCCATGACCAATTTTGTTGAATAATAAGTGCAATAATCATTAAAATCCATTGTAAACCCATTAGTGATGCTAAACGAGTATAAATAAATATATGATTATTATTACTATGATTTGATGATGATGATGCACTTGCTATTTGTGCTATTTTATGTGAATGATGTATGGCTAGAATAGTTTTAATAAATAAAATTGCAATAATTAATAGTAAACAACCGATTGGTACAAGAAAAAATGAAATCATTGCAAATGATTTTGATATTGTACAAAATAAATATCCATAATTAGGTGAAAATTTTGATTCAGGATTTGTAAATTGTATAAGACATGCAGTAAGCACAATAATTCCAGTTGAACACCATACTAGAATATTATAAGCTAATAAACGATATTTATCGTTATTTATTTTTTCACGTCGAACTATTTGACAATTAAATGTTGAATGTATATGTATTGCTATAATTAATAACCAAAAAAAAGATGATAAATAAAAATAATGAATTAAAATAGCTGAAATAAGACAAAGAGAAGAATGTTGAATAAGAACAGATGTTGAAATAAATAGTAATTGACCAATAAATATTGAAATGGAAAGAAATAAAAGACATTTACCAGGAAGATTATGTAAGGAAGGTATTAACCAAAATGCTATTGCAAAAATAACAAGACAAGCCAATGATATTGAAGTACAAAGAATTGTTAAGATATTACGATACGATGGAATTATTGGTCGACTTTGTTTCAATTGATCAGCACAAAAAACAATTTGATGATCATTAATAAATACATATTGATCTTTATTTAAAAGTATTGATTGATTTATAATATATAAACTGCTATTTTTATATCGAATATAATCTTCTGCTATTTGTATTGAATTTGGACATTTCATTGAAATAATTATTTCTTTACTTGAATTTGTTATTTGAGAACATTTTCTTAAAAAAAAATTATAAAGTTCATCCGGTTTTGAACAATTATAATTTAATGAATAGATCATTTGAATTGTTGAATTATTGTTTGAATCATAATTTAAATAACGTTCAAGAAGGTTTGGATCAAATAGTATTGATAATGAAGGAGCACGTGTATGATACATTGGAGGTGTACTTGAACGTAAATATGGGTCCGTACATGTTATATAACTATTATTTATATTATTACATTCTGCACAATAAGGATTACGATAAACAACATTTGAAACGATATCATAACGATAGGCAGTACTAGATTGAGAACAGTTTCGAGCTAAATCAGCTGATGTTTCAGAAGGACATATGGATGGAAGTGATTTTTTACAGGGTCGAATAAAAACCGAAGGTTCACTACTAGTACCTCTAGCACGTGGATAATTAATTGTTGTCCTACAATGTCGTGTTAAATTATGAATATAATAATTAATTTGTTCTTCTTTATTTAAAGTCATAATAGCAGAAGAACTTCCGTTACGATGACAATGTAATTTATATTCCCAAAATCGTGCATTTAAATTTGCATCATTATTACAATATGCACAATAGTAATTTCGATAAGTTATATTTGTTTGTATACTTGTAACTGGAATAAATAATATTGGATTGTCTAGAAATGTTTGATTATTTAAATTTCGGCATTGAATATCAGATCGTGATCCAATATAAATTGATAAACATTTTGTACGCATCCATACAAATAATGGACTAATTGAAAGAGTACTCTCATTAAATGTTGGTGAAAGAAAATCAATGCATTCATAATTATTTGTGTTTGACAATTTGGATTGATGACAACAGTCATCATATTCTTCACAAGCAGAATCACAAAAACAATTTCGACGTTGAATAAAAAGTTCATCATTGACAGATGGAGATTTTAATGTTAAATTTGAACAAGAATCTCGAATTACACATTGTTGATTATCATCAATTGTTAAACAAATTGAAGAAGAAAAAAGAATAAAAAGAACATAAAATTTCATTTTTTAACAATCCTATTGATTGTCAAAATGTTTTTATTCTATATCGATTTTGATCTTGTCAAATGTTAAGTTTGACAATATGTTTGTTATTTTTCGTAGCATACGACAGTAAATACTTGTTCGGACTTTTTTTTTCTTACGCTATTTGTTTGACAACAATTAAACGAGAGAAGAACAAAACAAAAAAAAAGAAGAAATTATATTGACTTAGTCGCCAACTCTTCCTTCCCAAGCAATATTCTCTCAAGACTAATCATGTCTGTTTTAATGATAATGCCATTCATCAAATAAAGAATTGAAGCAAAGAAAAAACAGACATAACAGCTTATGCTGATCTAATCAATCACATCATGAAGTGCATATAAAGACATTTACATAAAGAAACAAAAAACAACACGATAAATACAAAAGGCGTGATAAACTTTACAAAACAACAATAATATACACGAGATATAAACTTTTGATAAATTTGATTCAATAGATTTTATCGTTTGATGCTGTTTTGTCAGTATATATCAAAATAAAATGTTTTACATGTATCGTACACTATGACATGCGATACATGTTAGAACTTATTTTGAATGTATGATTCATATTGATTCTTCGTCGCATCTATGATTTCTTTTGGGGACATGAATAAAAACTATTTTTCATTAGAATTGAATTTATTAGAATCTATTTTCGAAGCATAACACAGAAACATATTGAGATCTAGTCGTTATGAGTAAAATAACGCACAAAAATGTATAAGTTCAGCTATGTACGATTGTCATGAGTCGGCTATATTTAGATACAGGAGCAAAACAAAACAGTGAATGAATACTTAAAAGATAGATACGTAGTATATAATGCGACGTCCTGTATTTTAGTGTGATTGGAAAGGATAAGGATTCATTGGTGAAGAGATAATTTTAGAACTATTCTGTATTTAATAGCTTAAATTTTTTATGAAACATTTTAAGAGACTCTCTCCTTGGTTGACACAAAATTTTCAGATTTTCATTTGTGTTTTATTTTGCTGTATGCTTGTTTCGACATGTTCTCTATTTATCGGAGACATTTCGAGGATTAACATACAACTGTACAGGTAAAAATATGCGAGGATATGAAACATCTTCAGTAGAAAAAACATCAAGATTTTCTCAAGAATTTTGTTTTTCTTGAAAAATTAAAGTTTGACAAAAATAGTGGAAAATCGTCCATGTTTCTCAAACATATTACGCTCAATCAAACTAAACATTTTTTTCTACTAACATTAAAAAGTGTTTAGGATGACTATTTTTATTTTTTTTGTTTCAAAATATGATGTGCCATTGATTTTTATCGGACTACATAGAAAAACTCCAATCAGAAAAAAAACAAGTATTTTTAAGATTGCTTTCAAGACTTTGGCTTCTTATTTGAATAGAAGGAGATAACAAGAAGCCAAAAAGGGTATGCAACTCAACTAGTATCGAGTATCTTTAAAAAGTTTTCATTTCTATGAGTCGTATGATGATGCAGAAACAACATGATAAGGCATCATTTTTAACTATTGCAACCTTTGTATTTTCTACAGGAAATCATTCTGAAATATTTCCGATGCATAACAATTTTTATTCCATTTATCGATATCTATCTAGTATGAGAGTTGCAAGTTTTTCCAATGAATGGCTCTCCACAAACTCCAAAATGGGGACCCGTTAATCTTGTAGGACACCCTTCTGTTAAAGGATTATTTATTTCAATAAGACCGATATTGATCAAATACACCGACATGCCTTATTTAATACCTAAATTCATATACAAAAAAAAGACGCTCTGTTTGTATCAATTTATCAAGTCTTTCTATCGTGTTGTTAATATTAATATTCCATCATCTATACGTTGTTCATATCTGCAATGTTAGCAAATACTACGATATCATATACTGTGCACCTCAATTGATTTTCCCCCTTTTGCTTTTTTGCGCTTTTACCATTACAATTCATTCATTTTTTAACCACCTGTATATGAGGAGAAAGCCCGGAAAAAGCTGTATCTTCTGGTATATTCATATGAAAAAACAGATGAAGTTTACAGTATAAAAAAGTATGTTTAAAATATAGTGACATTTTTTTACTACAAAATGCCTTCATATTTATTATTTATTGTAGAAATCAAGAAGAGCGAGTAGTTTTAGGATAAAATTCGATAGATACAAGATAGAAACCCAGGGCTTTCACCATTCGAAAGAAAAGATAAATCTGCATAGGTGATCATATTTTAGGTATTCCTTAGAAGCTTTACCTTGGTCTTTGGTCAAGTGCTTTACAGATTCAACACTTCTACAGACAAAAAATTGGAGTTTTTCTCGAAAAAAGTCAATTTTTTAGGAAACTTGACCAAAGACCAAGGTAAAGCTTCCAAGGAATACCTAAAATATGATCATCTATGCAGATTTATCTTCTCTTTCGAATGGTGAAAGCCGCAGGTCTCTTTCTTGTATCTATCGAATTTTATCCTAAAACTACTCACTCTTCTTGATTTCTACAATAAATAATAAATATGAAGACATTTTGTAGTAAAAAAAAATGTCACTATATTTTCAACATACTTTTTTATACAGCAAACTTCATCTGTTTTTTCATATGAATATACCAGACGATGCAGCTTTTCCCAGGCTTTCTCCCCATATACAGGAGATTAAAAAATAAATGAATTGTAGTGATAAAAACGCAAAAAAACAAAAGGGGAAAATCAATTGAGGTGCACAGTAAATTGTTCGCCAAGGCTCATCATAAGTAACTGAATTATAATTGCATATTACCTGTGTATTGATGTTTGTATCATGAATTATCATACTAAATAGCAGCTTTTATTAGTAAAGGATGTTTATATTAATTAATAGATAGCCTTGCTATCCTAGCAATATTTCAATTAGGTATGCACTGAATTCGAGCTTTCGGATTCGATTTTGACTGCAATTGTTTTTGGTCAATTGATGAAAGGAGAGAGAAGCAAGCCAAAAGAAAGGATTTCAAGCTAGGCTATGGAAAATCTAGACATAATGGAAAAAGGATCCAACAACCAAAGATCTACAGGCATACTAAAACAGTTATCAATATTCAAACCCAAACTCAAACTTAACTGAGCTTAAGGATGCCTACAAGATTGCCATATACTTTAGGAAAATTTTGAGCAAATATCTGACCCTGTCTAAGCAACTTGAATACTTTTCGAGCTCGAAAACGAACTATTCCTTCTGAATACCGAACGGAGTTCGGCTTTGGTACATGCCTAATTGTGATATTAACTTTACTCGAACTCACTAATTATAATTTAAAATTTAGTTTAAAACAAAATCGCCAGTATCATACGATATCATGATTGCTTTCCATTTGATATTATTCGAGCAAAGGAGTGTTTCATAACTACTCGCTATTCAAAACAATTAATCTGAAAATTGACTTGGATATTTCTTGTAAAACATAATATGCCATCAATCTCTGTGAATGGTTTTTATGATTAAACTATTTATTCAAAAATAAGCAAAAGCTGTCAGCTATCTATAATTATGACACCTACATCGAATAAATCATATTGAATTAAGTTTTTATTCAGCTTTAATTATTTATTGCTTTTTTTTGTCTTTAATCGTTTCTGATCGATCGAAATGTGAAGATTAAGCAAAAATGTTCTTCTATAGATTTCAAATTTATACACTAACGAGTGAACTACTAAAACTGATATCCTCTATTTGCGCTCATATTAAGTTTACAGAGAGGCATCAGTAAAGTTAGAAAAATCCGAAAAGGATTGATACCGATGAGCCTCTAGAGCTGAGTTATGACCTTTTTACTGCATTTTCGGTTCATCTTTAGATACTTATTGAAAAAATCAAATAAAGTTATTTCAATCTGAAATTTCGCTCATTGATTGGTCGAATTACTGGTAGAATATCCTGAAAATTTCAGTAGAAACGAATATTCCTTTGTCGAAATATGGAATTTTCAAACAAACTCGATTTTTATTGCAAAAGATCATTTTTTGGAAATTCAATATCTTGACAACGGTACATCCTTTTCGGCTGAAACTTTCAGGATACTCTACTAGCCATTAGGCCTATTTATAGATAAAACCTTAGGTCGAAATACCCTTATTTAATTTTTTCAGTAAATACCTAAAGCTAGATCAAAAGGTTAATGAAACGGTCATAACTTGACTTTAGAAACCCATCGGCACGAATGTATTTAGAATTTTCAGTCTTACTAAAACTTGCTTGTGAACCTAACATGAATTCAAACAGTGGCTATTAGTTCGATTAGTTCTCTTATAAAACTAACTTTGTGTAGTTTGATATCTCGTCAAAATCAAATAAGCCCACTAGGCAAGGTAACATAAGTTTATTCATTTTTTGTGACCAAATAACTTACTCATTGACTGATATTAATAGAGTATAATCGATCACTAAAACCCTTTCTAAATTACATTCAACATGGCTGTTGTCAAGAGGAAGTCATTGCCATATATGTATATTATTGAAATTCTTTCGATTTTTATGTATGAATTTATAACACCTTCCCCGAGACAAAATGAATCATGTTAAATAAAAACATTATGTCTGGCTTAAGTACAAGACATGAAACACATTATTTTTTGTTCTATTTGATTATTTTCTTTAGGTTTGTTATTATCATTTGCGTTGATGATTATTGATGTCAATCAACATAATGACGTACTTTTTTTTTTATATAAAATAACTTCGTTCTTTCTTATTCGACACTGAGCTGTCTACACCTTAATATTTCAAACATACGAAGTAAGTAAGTTATTTTGTTTTTTTTTTTCTTATATATTTGTAAATAATTGAGTCTATTTATCATGAGCATTGAGCGATTAAATTGAATATCATTAATCGGTTTTTGAAGTCATTAGGAAACATTAACATGAAATCAATGTACAAACATTAGAAAAAATATTTGCAATGGATAAGAACAGTTCTTAAATAAAACATTAGAAGAAGTTTTCTTGTAGATTGTTAAGTATTGTTGATCTTCATTATCAAAATTGATCAATTGATGAATTAAGTTTTTTGATCATTATAAAAATTTGTTATTATTCAAAATGTTTTATTTATATCTTATTTCCTAACAACAGCATGTCGATTATTTCCAACATTTCTTTGAACATCATAGAATATGTAAGAAATCAAATCATAGTGATGAATCGAACTCCAATTTTTAAGGAAAAATCATTTTAATCTTTATCTTATCTTATTTCTACTACCGACTTTTAATCGTCGATTATCTCTTGATCATTATTTAAGAAAATAACTCGAACCAAAACGATAAATAATTCAAAGAAAATTATTGTTTCGCAACATTCTAGTCTCTCATATGAGACATGAATTCAAAGACTTTTAAATAAATAAATGTTTGAATGATGCATTAATCTATGGTTTCGAAGTTCAAACAATGTGTTTTGTTGGAAGAACAATAATTTTTTCTATCGGATAAGAGAAGAAAAATTAAAACCATTGCAGATATTTTTTATATAGTATTAAAAGAGTAAATCTTTTTTCTATCATAAAAGGAAAGTGGGCAGATGTCTTAACCAAATCCATATGATAATAATAGTGAATTTTGTTTCAAAAAAACTTTTTTTTTTTTTGTTATTTACTTCAATCTAACAAAAAAAGATCAATGCAAAATTCTAATATTCATAGTCATTTGTGCATGATCGACATGACATTCAACTAATTTTTTTAGTCATCATTAGTTGTCTTACAAGTTTTTGACTAAAAACCTAGTTTTTGTCACATATACAAGGAATCGTTACATTTTCAATAATTTCAAAGTTATTTACCCGAATGAATATAGAGAAATAAGAATATGATGATTAAATTTCATCGGCATGTAACTCATGAAACGTTGGTCTATTTTAGTGAAATATTTAGAGAAGGATTGAAAGAACTTTTTCGCAAGTACAAAGATAAAGAACAATGTAAGATCGATGATAAATTAATATTAATCATCATTACAAATATTTTCCTCTTTGTCAAATATGAATCAGGGGAAAAAACCAAGAAATCATGTTTTCTTCCGTTCTGTTCCTTTTCGTCGTGGAATCAAATACACAGCCATATAAGGTTTTTTCTTATTTTTTTTCTTTTCTTCGTTTGTGTGGTTAGTCGTCTCATTACTCAAGTATATACGAGACAGAAGTCGAAAGCGAAGATAAATGTATTAGTTAGCAAAAGGTAGAACATATATTATCGACAAAAAAAAACTGAACTTTGCTTTTGTATCGCATCAAAATCTCAAAAGATCCCATATTTATTGCTAATTGAGAAATAGCAGACAGAAATAAGATAGCAGTAAACTAGTACTCATTTTTTTTTTCCAACTTTAATAAATATATGCATGACATTTTTTTTCTTATACTTATAGACATAAAAAAACATAATGAAGCAACAACGGTTACAAATTAATCGAAGTAAAACAAGAAAGACAATATGATTAATCATGTCTTATGTTTTCTTTTTTCAGAATCCAAAAAAACCAAAAAAGATATTGTTCATATTGAATTAGATACAAAATGCAGGTAATAATAAAAAAATTTATTTGAAATTTTTATAGAAGAAAATAATTTTAGTTGTCCACAATCAACATCAAATGATAATGCATTAATTCAAGTAAATTAATCATTTCTCATTTATTTATTTATTTCATTTATTTCATTTAGTTTACACGTCGTTACCTAAAATGTCAAAGTTCGATGCCTATTCGTATTATACGTTTATTTATCGAAGCAAGCTTATTTCATTCACCAATGACAAAAGTAATCATTAATAATAAAGCAATGAAATGATATATTTTTTTTTGTGTTTTTCAATTGTTTATAGGTATCCATATTCGATTCAAATAATTGCTTATTAAAAGACTCAGATCGTCTTTCTTCATTGAAACATAAATGTTCATCATCGCCTTATTACATCTCTCTTCGTTTTCAATTGATAAATAATGTAACATCTCTTGCCAATTGTTCTTGTTTATCAGCACCAATTGAACATAATTCATCATCTTCATATTTACCCTCAATAATTCAACAAGAAAACATGGAACAAATACTTTCAACATGTTCAATTATATCACAACCATCACCATTTTCATCTTGTTTATTACCATCATCATCATCATCATCATCATCATTTCCAAATCTATTTGACAATCCTATAGCAATCGCTGATCTTCGACATTCGACATCGTTTTTCGTCGATTCTATTTTAAACATATCAATGATTAATCAAATAACATCGGAACTCAGTGAAAAATGTCTACCATTAATAAAACGGAAACGATATCGTGTACCAAAAAAAGTAATTCCTGAACTACCATTTGATATTCCTCTTGATCTAAGAATAAAAAACATTCATTAATCTCTATTTCATTCAATATCTTCACAAATGGAATGCATCTAGACATTAATTTCGTTTGTATTTTCTTAATTTTTACTTTTAACAATATGTGTGATACAATCAAGATAATGATTTTTTTTTTGTTAAATAGTGATCTAAGTGTACATTGTATATTCTAGTTTTTTTTTCAAGAAAATAAAAAACATTTTATCAATAGACACGCGTAGATGCAACAAAGGGAAACATATTGGTGAAATTTCGTAAGATCTAAGCATTATGTCATCAATATTTGATGACTCATTAATTTCACTAGTTTACCGGATGGATTGAAATGAAATTTCATGTAGAATGATACTTTTGAAATTATTACATTTATTAATGTAGATAAACAAATATGTTGAAATATTAACGGATTTTTTGAAGTTGAAAATACAGACTTCGTTTACAGAAAAATTTCAATATCAGTATTCGAACACTGAAAGAATTCGTGGGAAATTTTTATCTGCTTCTTCCTAGTCATATATTTTATAGTCATGTGAATGACTCAACAGTAAACATGACACAGACAAAGACGAAAAAGTTTCGACAGTCTAAAGGTTAAAGAGCAAAGTGTTTGTTGTGTCTATTAGTTTTACTTTTATCTAAGCAATCGTTCCACATTAAATAATTGAGTTGATGGAAAAGCAGCTATTGGTCGAGCAATAATTAGTTGCATGTGCGACTAAAGCATACTTCCTATTTCATTTCCCATAAATGGCAATTTGCGAACACATGATTCAATCACAGAGTATCGTACAACAGTGATAGCAACATGTGAAAAATAAAGATTTACCTCGTAGAATGAAGTCATAGATGATCTCGCTGATAAAAGCTAATTGAATAATGATATTCGCATTATAAATTTATGGAAATATGGCGAAAAGTTGAAAATTATATTTATTCTCCAATAGCAAAATTCCAATAGACAGAATCTCGAAAATAAGAAAAACTTATATGAATAATGAGAGATTTGTAAATCGACTATTACTTGCTTTCGTACGGGATTTCATGTACATTTATAAGACTTTCCTTAATACATGTAGTTATATTCATGTCTAATGTTTCTTGTCCTTGAACAAACTATTAGTTATTCACTGTAAAGAAATCAATGTAGAATCATAGACCCTACGAAAAGGATTCATCATGTTTTTATTAATCCTTGAAGGGTTTATGTTTCGTTGCATTTTCATAAGCCCTTGTATAACCATAAGGACAATAAACCTTTCAGGGTTTGATTGTTTTTCTAAATAAACCCTTCAAGAGTTTATTATCTTCATGTGTCTACAACTGTTTATGTCAATGTCACGTTTAATCAACCTTCAAGGAGTTTATTATTCTACGCTTTTTTTAAAAGTGTTTTCTGAGCCTCGATGAGTTGTTTCTCTATAATGCTAAGCAGACCTTTTCACGCCTTTTCGTCAGCATTGCAATTAATCTAAACTGCAACTTATTGTTGTAATGCCTAATTAATGTTGTCTCATTGTTGTTCGACCAATTTTTGTCGACCCTGAGCTAATATTAATCATCTGATTTTCATTGATTTGAACCGACAAATACTTAATTAGAACTATAGAGATGTAGGTTGATCGACTGAGTTGTCAAGGCGAAAGACCGCCAAGTTTTTGATACATCTCAGCCGCCGTCGACACCCATATTCAGGGCTTCCAATTAGGAAGAAGCTTTCTCCCAAAATTTCAGACTTTCTACCGAATCTCTCGATCATACTTTCTTCGGAATTTTTAAAGCTCAATTCAATTTAAAACTTCTGCATTTACTAGAATAAAATTAAACCGAAGTTGCTCTCTGTCAAATTTTTCGCATAGAATCAATTTTTTTTAATGTTGTTACGTGTCATCATCGTCTCTTAGATGATATATACTTATGTATGCATCTGAAACAGTGATGAAGATTAATTATTAAAACGTTTGTGCTTTTTCGCTTTGAAATAATTTTATATTAAAAACTTTTATATCGAATAAGTAACGATTAATAGTGTTTGTCATTTACGAAGAACTTCTGATTTGTAGTAGGCTCGAATTTTTTTGCAAAAAAGTTCATTTTCTGCCAAATTGTTTTTAGTTCCTTCTTTTCATTCCAAAAAAAAAACGATCGGGAACCCGATCCATGTTTCAGTGAACTATCTATTAAAATGCCGATTAGTACATTAGCTTACACTTTTATTTCAAATACTGTACTATCTAGAGGATTTCGTCTTAGGGGAAATCTAATCCAATGATTTTAAGTCGATTTTGTAGAGCACGCTAAAAAATCTTTATTAATTGACATTTACTCATTACATCTATATTGGAAAAAGCCCATCAAATTCGTCGAATATGTAACTACTATGCCGACGAATAGAACGCTTTAAATTCGGCGAACTTTCATCAGATCATATTAGATCAAATAATAAATTTCATCTTCTATCATCCGACCATTTATTATCCTTTAAAATGAAGCAATAGCACAATAGGAACAAAAAAAAAATTGTGAAGCATTAAAATAAAAGAATATTATTTTTGTTTTCTTCAAAATTACGTAAACAACATCAAAAGAAACAAAAAAAAAAGACTTCAGAACAAAAAGTTACGGTGGGATAAATGAAAGGAAGAGAGAAAAAAACTAAAAACTTCGTATTCTTTTGTCTCCTGTTTTCGTGATACTCTAATGACTAGAAATGCCAATTTCGTTCAATTTTTTTGTTATATAAACGTATTGGCGATAGAATAGGTATTAACACTCACTGTAAAATTAATTGAGATTCAAACATGCGTATATATACACACATATACAATAAACTAAAATTATGTTTGAGATTGATGCGACCGATGGAATATTAAAAAACGATGTAGAAAACGTCGATGATTGTTATCTTGATGTCGTCGATTACGATTGATACTTGTGGATGAAGAAGAATCAAATTGAATAGCTGTATTACCAGGTGTGACTATTGATGATGTAGTAGAATTTAATGGAGGTAAATCATTTGCATCTAGTACTGTTACAATACAATTATCACGATTATTATTTGAATTTTTTGTTCCTAAGAAAAATATTGTGTGATTTAGTATTTTATTTATAAATTCATTTACCTGATAACGTCACTCCACCGTGACGTTCTTCATTTCTTGAATGAATAACAATACGTTGGTTAAACTGACGCCAACGAATACACAGCTAAGTAAACAATTGTAAAGAAGATTTTTCTTCTATTTTTACTAATAAGAAAGAATGATTTCGGACGATACTGCTTGATTATATTAGTAACGTCCGAGAATAAAAAGCTACGGTCTTTTACTATGGAAATGCAGGTCATTCTTTCAAGAGTGACCTTTGACTACGGGATAGTGTTTTTTTTTGCTAACATTTATTTAGAAAATGAAAAGTTTTTGAAAATACATTTCTAATGTTCGAATAAGCATTTTTATCAATTAAGTGTCCGAATAACAACTGTTTTTACTAGAAAAAAAGTAATTTTAATTTAAACAAATTGTTTTTTACTTAACAAACTACAAGCACAATCTCCATAGTATTAAAACGTAAAACACCGATGTAGCTGCTATTTAGAGTTGGAACCGGTTGAGAAATGGTAAATCGGCCGGATGGAATCATATGTTCAATCGGTGAAATTCCGGTGAAAACCGGTTAAAAACCGACGGAAAAAATGTCGAATTTTTTTGAAAACCGGTTTTTAGAAAAAATGGCTCTAACTCTGAAATAGTTGTTGGATGCATATAAAAGACACTCATCATAATGAATCTTTTTAAAGAGAACCTCAGAAAAAATTATTAATATAACATATGTTTTGAGTACTTTTTTTACGCATTCTGACAGAAAAAACATGTGACACCTTTGTTTTTATGGTCAAAAACAAGGTTAACAAAGAAGATTTTTGAATACTTTCAACTGGTGAAATTTCGGTCTCTACCTGCCCGGTTTCAACGCTGCTGCTATTGCTAATCATACGAAGATTGTTTTATATTATCTATCTTGGAACATATTTCTTTACTATCTTTTGATCTAATCGCACTGAAATGTAATAAGGAACTATTTTGTTCTTTCTAGCAAAACGTTATTGATATATGGTCTTTGATCGTATACTAAAGTGTAGCACAGTCTGTAGCATGAAGGAAGAGGAGCAAGAAACGAGTGTTACAAAGATGTATGTCATGGTCTTTGATAGTCTTTGGATAGCGTCTATCTCAATTTGTAGGACGTAGGGAGTGTAGGTCCAAATTTTCACTCGTATACTTCAATACTTCTCTTAGATTGCGTTTCACAAAATCAGACTTTTATGTGCTAAGAGTTCGCAAAAATTTTCTGAATTTCCAAAAAGTGATTTTAGAAAATTCATAACTTTCTTTTAAACCTTGTGAAATTTTTCTTATAAACGATCTTCTAATATATGATGCTCTTCTATTCTGTAGAATAGTTTAAATAATCTTACCTGAAGATACATTTTACATTGAACATAAAGGAAGATCTTAAAAAACAAAAGACAGACATTTTCTGTATGATATTAAAATTATATTCTCACCAGTCCTCCCGTAAAACCAACAGCAACAATGATTAATTTCGTCCAAAAAGGCCATTCTATAAAAACAATACAAATGTTAAGTATAATTGTGTTTTTTAAGAAACAAAAAAGAAAATTGACATACGAAGTTTTCCAGCTTTCACTTCGTCTCGTGTTTTTTCAATTAATACATAAAGTGACCAAAGAACACAAGTAACAGCTATTAAATTAAATGCAACAGAACACATGACTTTCCGCCTTTCAACGACATTCATATCTAATTTTTGCCACTAGAAAAACAAAATGAGTTGAATATGATTAAAAAACAAAAAACAATTTTTTTTTCTTTTTTACTTGTTTAAATGGTTTTATTTCTGAATGCATAATAAATTCAAATTTACAAAGTTCACAGGATTTAACACCGGCACTTTTTATCCAATGTTGTAAACATGATTGGTGTAAATATTGCATCGTTCCCAAACAATAACAGGGAGATATCAATGGTTCATCAGTTGTACCTTCACAATGACATATTCGACATATATCGGGATAATCACTTGTTTTTGAATTTGTTGATGATAATGAAGTTTTACTTGTCGTCTTTGTTGGTATTAATGGTGTTTCTGATATGGATTGCTTAGGTGACTTGGGTAGAATAGCTTCTTCGTCAAGATGAATTGGAACCTTTTATTAAATAAAAATAAATTAATATGAATAATTAAAGTACAACTATACTTACTGATTTATCAATTGGCATTTCATTTCTTTGACCATTGATAATAGTTGATGTGGAAGCCATAACTGTTCTCTAGATGATAGAAAAATATTCATATACAATTTAAGAATTTATTTATTTACATGTGTTATACTATTAAGTCGATTTTACTCGGCACCACTAATGATTGATAGATTGTTATTTGAAAAATAAATGTGTTTTACTAGATTGGACCTTGTAACGCCATTATTATAAATAAAGCATTTCAACAAGATAAAGGTTCTGATTGACTAATCCTGACATCTGTAGAAAAATGTTGTACGATATAAAACGAAGATCCTTAAGGATAAGAATGTGTTGTCAGATTATTGCAGTATTGTTTTGGCGATTAGGTCATTTTTGTGTCACATCATTTCATTTTTGCTTTGTTTTTAATGGATAAAAACACATGAAATAATTGTATGTAGACTATTCTTAGAAGTTCAAAGCAAAGATCAATGTATCACAACTTCACTCTGTCTTGAGACACAGAGTAAAATGATGCTTATACTTTTTAGTTCTGAAGAATGACATGATTTAATGATTTCTTCATCTTTTGATAACACTGCTCATCTTTTGTTTGACAATACAATTAAATCTATAAAATGAGTGACTATTGTTAATCGTTATGTATTTTGTTTAGTTAATCTGATGTCATTGAAATGAAACAGCAATTATGATGTATGTTAAAGTTGAAGAATACGAAGTCTGTATTTGCTCAAAAGCAACCATTTTACAACGTATACAACTACATTATGGTCATTCGTACAGTGGGATATTACAATTCTATCTTTCTGTGACCCTATACCGATGAAGAGGATCATACATGAAGATATGTGAAGTAAGATGAAAACCGTATACGAATCACTACTTCACAAAACCAAGGATTTCATTTATTTTCTCTATAGCATTTTTTTCGATTGTGTCCGCTCGATGGATGAGAATGTTCTTTAAAATTTGACTGAATAAAATTCTATTTCAAATTTTTGTCTCCAATATCACATGTTTCGAATAGTATTCATCGATAGTACCATTGAAAGAATTGGCCAAAATGAAGTGTTTTTGTTCAATTTATTAATTTCAATTCGTTTTTATTCTCTCATTAGTTTGACAACAATGTTACCTTAGTATATGACAATATTAACAGTACATATACAGTTACTCTTCCATCGATCTAGCTTATCGAACTATTCGTTGATGGTTATATACTACATGTTTATATATCGATAAGAATCATTCAGAAACCTTCATATCATTGTCAGCCAAAATCATTAAGAAAAAAAAACGACTAAGGATATTGTTGCGTACCCAGTAACATTGCTTATCTGAACTCGATTGGAAGAAAAGAATATCTTCAATATTCATATGATCGAGTTTGATTTTCGATGCAGTTATCAAAGTGTGGAGTGATGAGAGCTCGAAAGTTTATCAAATAAGGAATACAGTATGATGATGAAAATGATTAGTGATGTTTTCAATAAAAAACATCATGCCATGTTTTTATTGAGCGGCAACTAGGTGACAATAGGAAATTTTCTACATTACTAAGAAGAAGAAGAAGAGGTAAAACCTAACAAATCATATGAATAGATATCTTCTCACTATCAGTTTTACAGTTTTTATTCAATTGAACAATGCGTTCGATTAAAGTGTACCAGATAACGAAGTATGAGAGTGAGTGATAGTATGATTATGGATGAGAGTGAGAATAGTGATCTTCTCTCTACCCTCACTCCTCACACAGCTCACACCATTCCGTTGCTGTCATTGTACGCTAGTGTGCATACAGTACTATTAAGTGGAAGTCATCATTATTTTTTATGGTAACAAAACTAAGCATGAACATTGGGCTAAGCGATGGTGCAAAATCCAAGGTGTCTCCAGAGAGATTTCTTTGATGTGTAAGTTCTCCAAGAAAGTAGCGCAATAATTGGAACCAAATCTAATTACCAATAGTTTCGTATCTATCAGTAATGATGCTTGAAATAAGAATTTGTATCAGTAGAATTCATCATTTATTGATATAGAAATCTTGACAGATTTTGCTGAGCATTAATTTTGAAGAGCATACGATCCAAAATTCTATTGATTACTCTCATGACATGTGCACCAAGAATGAAGGTGAACTACAAAACATCAATATATCAGAAATGAAATATCATGATAAAATACATATTTAGAGGATATACTTATAATTTCTTTCAATAGCAAATACTACATTATACTCTTTGACTGAGGAATTTAGACAGTATTCATCAAGATGAGTTTCTTTGTTGGTCACTGTCGTTATCACATCGAACGATTGCATTTAGAACAGTTGAGTAGGCATTATTCTGGTAAATCTTTCATGATATATTGTGATCAGCGTGTATTCCAGACAGACTTTGAATTCACGATAAACTAAGCTTTTCTAATGACTTTTTATCTATCAGTGAAAATCGAGCTGTCGCCTTCGAGTTTTCTTGTCGTACAATGAAAAATCTTAATATAGTCTGCCTTGTCTGTAGCATGAAGATTGTTTCTTTCAACATTAATTCTCCCTTCACTTTCTCATGCATGCAATTTTTTTCATCTATGAGATCATACCAACAGGTAAAAATAATCGTCTCCATCAAGTAGAGTTAACAGTATGCAAAGTCAACAACAGAAATGTTTAAGCTCCTATTGAACACATGCAAGCAGAGATTGTAACAAATCAACATGATTGAATCAATTAAATACTCAGCAATTTAAAACAAAGTCAATCAGACAAAACACAAGATGTCTTTGAAGTTGTAATAGATCAAACAAATAATAATAGTTTAAACGGTAAGATTGCTCATCAGCTTGGAAGAAGCAAACTTAGTCGACAGAAATATTATGAGACAAATATATTTTATGAAAAATGACCTTAAATAAAGAAAAAGTCTTTTTTTCGAATCATCCTGATTCGACTACTTCTTATAATAACATCGATTCACTGTATTAGATCATAAACGAGTATTAAAAAGCTTTTTTCATTTCACAAAAAATATCCATAATTTAACTGCAAATAAAACTCATTTCGATTAGTCTGTGATCTCTTTCTTACGATTGTTTCCTTAATTATAAAAAGCATATCATGATATCAAAATCAGATTGCTATTTGACTAAATGAGACGGTCAAATAGTCAATAAAATTTCTTAATTTTTTTTTATTAAAAATAATTTCAAAAAATATTATGATTCTGTCTGTTTTTGATAAAGCATTTCTAAATAAACTCCATTAGTCCATCCAAAACCATCTTGTGTTTTATATTCTCCACCACCAGCCGGTTTATTGATATTCACAACATCATATTTTTCCATCATTTTACCTGTTTCTTTAAATACTTGTTCATTTAAAGACATCCATCGTTGACGAATAGTTCGAGCAAGTTTTTCATAACCTGGCGTTTGAAGTAAAGCACGATATGCAATATATTGAAGTGGAGCCCAACCATTTGGATAATCCCATTGTTGTATACTTTTTTTTGAAATTGTAGTTGTCAAACCACCATCATATAAAAATAATGATTCAGTTTGATGAGCAACTTGTTTAGCTTGATCCGGGGTTGAAATATTAAGCCACAATGGAAAAAGACCAGCTAAAGTTAAACGATCTGTTTGTTTCTTTTTAATAAAATTATAATCCATGAAAAATTGAAATTCATTTGACCACATATATTTTTGTATAGCTTGACGACGATGTTCAGCTTCAAGTGTTTTACCTAAACTTAATTCTAAATGATATAATAAACAATTAAGATCAACAGGAAGAATATTAGCAGTTATTATTGTGGATAGATCACTTTCATCTTCCAACCATCGTGAACTAAAATCCCAACCAGATTCAGCAGCTGCTCGTAAATGAACATAAATATTAGGATTGTTTGTTTTATGAGCTATTTCTGTATCTTCAAGAAAAGCTTCTGGTCTTGGTTTAGAACTAAGATCATCATAGTATCGATTAAGAATTGTTCCATCATCAAGTGTAATTGATCTTTTCTTCATCCAAAATTGATATTCAATTTCTAATTCATTTCTATATTTTTCTGTTTGTCCTAATAATTCAGTCATTAATGAAAAATATGGTTGTTGAGATCGACCAACATAATAATATCGATTTCCATTTGGAATGTGTCCAATTGTTCGAATTAAATAAGCAAAATTATCTAACATATTATTCAATAGTTTTGTTTCATTTGATCTAATTAAACCTAACATTGTAAAATAAGTATCCCAATAATAAAATTCTCTAAAACGTCCACCAGGTACAATAAATGGATATGGAACTTCAATAAATGATGAAAACTTTTCTTTTGTTGATACTCGTGTTAAGAGTGACCATAAATGATGACAATGTTCTTCAATTATTCGATTATCATTGATAACTGTTGTTGTATTTGGTACGATAAAATGATCGGAAATAAATGATGATAGATTAAATGTTGTTTTTGTTTTTTCTTTTCGATAATTTTCAAGAATTTCATGTGGTTGTAGTGTACGTGGAATTATGTCACAAAAAGTTTTTGAATCAGGAAATATACGTGAACTTTGTACATGTTCAAATAATTCTTGATAAATTTCATCAGGTGATTGTGACATTATTGAAAAAATAATCGAAAAACAAAAACGCAAAAAATTTAAATACTTCGTATAAATCTTTTAAAAGACTAATCTTCATAAGAAGAAATATGTTAGACATTTATTGTTTTTAAGATTAAGCACACTGTTGTTTTCTTTTCGGTGGATTACAAGTACCTATCGTAGATTTTTATTATATTTACTCAAGATTAACATAGGATTACTTATGTAACTTGAAAGAAATATTGGTTTTAATGAAGATGATTCATTATGCTTTGAGTTGCTAAATTGTTCGACATACTTTCACAAGGCACTATTAGCCATACAATGAACATGAGCATGTCACTAGCGATTATTTGTCTTGGATCATCCGTTCTATAGGATGTTGACTATTCGATGACTACTTAGTGTGTACAGAGAACTTGAGCGACTGAGAAAAAGAATTCTTTATCAGACCGGCTTTCTGTTCAGAACAAGAAAGTCTATAGTTTTGAGCGATGAGAGCGCTAAAAATTCTTGCAGAAAGTACTTTCATTTTTGGAGTGCTAGCAGTAGTAACTGGAAAGAGAAAACCAAAACCTACTCTCATCCAGCTCTAATCACAATAGATGATCTGCCGTCAAGCCTTCCCGACTATCGAGGTCTATCTCAATCTTATTCACTTCGAAACGACATTATCTAGTTAAGCTCATTTTAATTTTTGTCAAAATAAGATAAATAATGTTTCAAAGTCTGGTTTCCATCCAACGTTACTACGAAGCTGTAAAAAAATTGTTAGAAAATATTTAGGATTTTCGAAGAGTTGGACATTTTTGATGAGATGAGTCAAATTTGTCGCTAGATAGCGTCTAGGCACAATGGCTTGGATAGTCTTTCTTCCTTGACAATGAAGAAAGATAAAAAATATCTAAGAGGCTGTTAACGAATAGGAAAAATGGGTTAGTTATTTGTACTCATCAAATGTTTAGACGTAATAATGATACAAATATCCGAATACGTTATAATGTCTAATTATAAAAATTCATCTGAAGAAGATATTTTGTCAATAATAAGTTACTGACGTATCACTTGTAGAATGTTTTTATTTTATCTTTATATAAGAAAGAATATACATTATTGATAAATTCAAATTATAATAAATATGCTGAATAAGAACAACTATCTATCCTATAAGCATTCTTTTTAAATCAAAATAGTCATTTAGTACTCGATAATCTGATATAATAGCTCATCAACTTGTAATTAGACATACTATGAAACAAAAACTATGGGTAAGTGCTTATAAGTAACAATATAGTTATTTACAAGTTTACTTAAAAACTGAAATTTTTTTCGCATTGCTTAACACAAGTGGTGCATATCGAGCCAAGAAAATCAAATGATTATTGTTCTGTATGAATAAAAGAATGTATCTGATACAGAAAACAACTTTTAGACAGTTGTTACAACCAATTTTCTTACTCGAAGCATGCAATTTGTTGTTGTTGTACAGAATTGCCAAAAATGCTTTGCTTGAGAGATAAAGCTCTAAAGACAAATGATGTCAACATTGAATTTTATATCAAAGGAAAGCCCGTCAAAAATGGGACTTATTCATACGAATGAATAAGAGCTATAAAGACGTTTCTCTATCGAACTTTGATAATTTCTAGAAATGCATGAATCGTAGTCATAGTAAAACTTTCTTTTATCATAGAGAACTCAGGCTACCTCTGATATAAAAATACTAAATCTAGCAAAGTTACCTTTATTTTGTATCATTCACTAAGCCATAAAAACCAAGAATAACCTTTATATATTTAGTAATTTTATATCAGAGGTAGTTTGAGTTCTCTATAATAAAGAATAGTTTTCCTATGACTATGGGTTCATGCATTTTTAAAAATTATCAAAGTTCAATACAAAAAAGCCTTTATTCATTCGTATGGATAAACCCCATTTTTGACTGGCTTTCATTTGGTATAAAATTCAATGTTGATATCATTTGTCTTTAGAGCTGTATCCTCCAAGCAAAACAACTTTGGCAATCCTGTACATTCTCTGATCAAGATTATCGCAGATTTTGACACGATGAAACAAAATATGACTAATGTTTGTTTTAAGTTCGGCATATATGACAATTATTAATTCACAATGATCATTGGAATTTGCTTAGTCCTTTGTCATAAGTTTCTCGACGGCATTCTTGTCTTGAATCATTTCATGAATAAACCTATGAACTGTAAAATATATCTCTGAACGTTAGTTTTATAGAAAGTACACAAAAATATTCTTTCATGGGAGTAACACTGTAATCTCAAATGGAATAAACAATAAATTATATAACGAATAAAAACTTGTTGAAAATGAGATTTATAAATCTGACTGATAACATAAAGAAGAATTATGGCTTATAGACTCATGAAGTGTTTCTAAATTTTTAAAATATAGTTTGATACTTTCTTAGTTTGTCAACCATACAAACATAAGATTCTCAAGAACTTTTTTTTCATTTATCAGACCATACAATTCTTTCCATTAATCATTTTGACAAAAAAAAGTTTTAATAAACTTGATGCTAAAGTAGGAGTATTACAATCAAAATACTACAAAAAATCTCAAAAAAATTCTATTTACGAGTGTTATAACCTTTTTTTCAGTAATTCAACTTTTACACTGCCATTCTTATATCAAATTTTACAAGCACTTTTTTATCAAGATGATTGTCAAAGTATCAAACTACTATGTTCTCAAAATTTTGAAAAATTTCATAATTCTATAATCATTAATTATTCTATCGGTTTCCATCTAGACCAATAAAATGTAATTTTCAAGAAATTTCTTTTTTAAGATCACAATGCTGACTACATGGAAAAACCATATTTACGCATCCTGTACATTAAAATGAATCGAGACTAGACGTTAAGATACTAATTTGATCAAATGATTTGTTTATTTTTCCATTTAGCTTTTTTATGTGGACGAATTAATTTTCAAAACAAAATTAACTGCATATATCATCCTTCTTTAAAAACCGGTGTTATATTTTTCTGGTTCAATGTTTTTTTTGTTAGATTGAAAACTGACAAAGTTGAAAAACTTCACAATAGTCAAAATTTTCAGTTACTTACATGAAGCAAAACCGAAGACCTTATTCTCATATAGAAAAAAAATAAATATATATCTATATACATATGTCACTTACTATTATTGTTCTTTTTTTCTCATATCCAGTAAATATTTATTTTTCTGTCTAAGAGACGTGGCAAAGTTTCAGCAATTTCACTGGTATTTTTCCAACAAAACTCTAATGAATAATCCTGGTATCTATATAAAACCCAATCTAGTAATAAAAAAATCATCAGTGATTTATGTGTTTGTTTGAATCATAGAACATCCAGTCTATACCACTATCAAAGATGGATTGTAATATACATTCCGATAAGGCTGACTCATTCATAAATGAGTGAGGTATTTGCTGGATTTTTAATTGAAAATGTAATCGTTCCCACTATTTATTCTGTAAAGCTTAGTTGTGAAACGTCAAAATGCTGAATATAATCAATCAAATAATAATTTACAATTAAGTTTATAGTTTCTACTAGCTGTGTATAATCAATTGAAACAACAAGCAATCGATACAATGTAAATCGATTTTTTTTTCTTTTCACTTCAAATAAACAACTAGAGATGGACATGAAAAATTATCAACTCATATCCTCTTATGACATATTCCAACATGAAATAATCAATAAAAAAAAAGCGATACACAATAGAAGAGAAAAACGAAAGAAGAAAAAACATATAATAAGAGCAGTAAATGGGTGCACACATAAAGAAGAAATTCAACTGACGACGTGCATCTAACATACTGATAATAACACACTGATAGATCAATGATGAAAAAAAAACCTATGATGTTAAAGAATGGAAAGAGAAATAACAGCGCAGATATATATAAACATTGAAGGCAGACCATACACAGAGAGGTCAAGACGACATCGAGGACATTTATCTATGTATCTGGAAAGGCGTAAGTCAGAATAAAATATGATTCATCAATAATACAGCATGATTAGGCGAATCAACAAATAAATGTAAAAAATGCAATCTCCACTCTTAAAGATTTTAGATTATAATTTATCAAAATATTCAATATTGCTTTGCTCAAAACAATATATCGGTAATAAATATGAATTTATTTGTTAAAGTATGAGACTTATGAAATGATATTGAACATTATCAAAATAAATTCTAAATCGACTTTATCAACTGCTTCTCTCTTATGTTAGTTTTGTTTTTTTTTAATTTTTACACATATGCAAATATTGTGAATTAGCACCCACATAATAACAAATCTACAATCATACTATTTGGACAATTACGCACATTTTTTTTTTCTTTCTTATCATAAAGAAAAAAAAAAGAGAGAGAGAAAGACAAGACGAAGAACGTAAGATTCAGTAAACATCGAGCATAACGACTCGAAATAATATGATGTAATTTCATGGCCAAACATTAAAAGAGAGTATTGGTTATCTGTTCATGGTAATTTACGGGCGTGTCATATGCTTATTAATATGAAATAAGTATCTATTATCGTAAGTTAAATTTAAAATAATTTTGAATTATACCAAACTTATAATTCAAATTATTTACATTTTTCAAATGTATTATATTTAAATAAGATTTAAGGATTCTATTTCATCATGATACCTTATTAAGTAAATATAGTGTAATTTTAATATCACCTGTATTCGTAAATAATGTGTCATATACTGCTTCGATTCTACTTGCACGTTCTGATCTATTGAAAGATCTTATTCTTTATCAAAATGTTTTTTTTTCGAAAAAAGTTATAACTCAGTTTATTGAATCGATAGAATCTGCTAACTTTCATTTTATAACTTGTAATATTCTTTTTGCGAAGGCAGTACTTTTAAAAAAGCCCATAGTCTATATTCTTTATTGAATGTCATGACGAACTGTGAGTGAAAAAGTATTTGTTATGTACCCACAAAATGTTTTTAGTTGATAGCAAACCAATTTTCACATACGAGGACTCTCTCAAGCATCATGAAAAATATGCTTCGTCTTTCTCACATTTAAAATCGATAAAGGTTGCTAAAAATAAGTGCATAAATCATGAATATAATATGTATTTTTTAAAATTATTTGAGTAACAAGAGAGATCTGAAGAAATTTCTGAAAGTTCTAAACTTCACTTTTTATCCAACAGTTTATCAAAACCGATATTATATTTGGTGAAAATAGATTCTTTCAATGCACAGTTTCTTTTCCGACATCAGAATCTTTACTAACGTTCGTGACATGTGGTTATTTTCCTATCAAGGTAGGCTAAATACCACTTCGATCGAGTAATCTTGTTTGAAATAAATTTTTTGCGTTGTCATAAAAAGTATAATTAAGGCAGATGGGTCAATGATATTTTCTCGTTTATCATGTAATTTTTTGCACTCTGATACATGAGATTATTATCAACATCTGATTCAGTGTCGATGGTATGGCTCCTGTGAATGAAAATTAGTAAAAATATTTTTAGTTTGAAGAGCATTTAGTTTACTTTGATAGGGAAATAATCATATTTTGCAAAGGATATTGTAGATTCTGATATAAAATAAAAATTCTGCATCGATTAAACTTATTTCACCGAATATAATATTGATTTCGATAGACTATGAGATAAAAAGTGAATTTTAGAACTTCTAGCAGATTGTTTAGGTATCTCTTTATTGCTTGAATAATTGTAACAACAAATATCATAGTTTGTGATCAACGTACTTGTTTTCACCAATAATTATCGAGTCTGAAGGAAAGAAAGATAAAAAGTTTTTTTTTTATGATATGTGAGAGAGCCCTCAGATGTGATAGATTAACTTGCTGTCAAGTACAAAATAAAGTCGTGAATATCAAATGAATACTGTCTTACTCACAGTCTCTGACTACATTCGATAAAGAAAATTGTTCCTAGTTTTCTAAAGAGTACCTAATTCGCTAAAAAATATTATAAGCTATAGAATAACAGTTTGAAGTTTCTATCTATTGCATAAAGTTAGTTATAAGTTTGACTTGAAAAACTTGTTTTGATCAGAAATAGAATTCAGATTAGAGCTTGTTGATTGAATTGAAACAATACATCACACAAGATTTATGAATATAGGTGATGTTAAAGTTACGAAATATTTATTCTATAAGATATGATGAAGATAGAATCATTGAATTTAATTTACATTGAAAAAATAAATTAAACTTACGATAATTTACATTTAAATATATTTTTAATTTAAATTAATGATTATTTAATGTACTCATATATTAATCAAAAAGTAGATATATATATTGATAACGCTAGTACTGCTTTATGTTATAGAAAGAATGAGAAGAAAAGTTATTATTTGTCCTTATAGACGTATATTTGAAAAAGGTCAAACTATAATTGTCAAATAACTTGAATGAACTTGATGAGAAAGAAATGTCTGTCCAGTTTAATATATTAAATAACAAAATTCAAATGTTTTTCTCTAAACTTACGAGTTGCATTTATCTTCTTTTCGTTCCCCATTCTTCAGTACATGTGAGGTCATTTTATTGATTTATTTTCTTTCATTCTTTTGAGGACATTCATATGTAAATTATGTCAATTAGTAGTAATACAAACGACCAAGCTAATTTTACTCGAGCTGTTGAAGAAGCATTTTTTATACTTGATCGTGATCAAGATCGATCTATTGATACAAGTGACCTTTGTGCTATGGCTAAAACTGTTGGTATAAACTTAAATTCTGATGAAGCATTATCACTTCTCCGTACAGCTCTGCATGAACAAACAGATAATCCAATATATGAAGCAAAATTAACAGTCGATCAGTATTCAACATTAATGCTCCGTCATGTTGGTTCATCAGAATTAAATGATGAATTACGTCGAACATTTGATGCTTTAGATGGAGATCATGATGGAAAAATATCTCGACAAGATATGGATCGACTTCGTAATGAACATAAGTTTTTTGATAGACTTGATGATGAACAATATGAATTAGTTATTGAAGAATTATTGATTAATGGAAGTCATGGAATGGATTTTGATCAATTTGTCCATTTGATGATGCAATCATAGTGGAAAACAATTTCTTTGATACTAAAGAAAAAATATTTTCGTTTGAATAAAATTTCTTTGAACAATTCTTATAATAAAATGTTTTGATTTTTATGGAGATAGACTTTTACTAAGATGAGGAAGATCAGTAAGTCTAGTTCGACTCGACATATTGGTCCGAATACAAACTACTCTATAGATTTCTACATTGACTATGGACAAAAACTGGCAAATCAGATTCAACTATGATTTCTTATTTAGTAACTGCGTACAACGTACATTCCAATACTGAATGATAGTTCTCATTGTTTCAAACGGTTACTTATGCATAGATATCGAAGTTTATTATCTTATGAAGTTTTCTCTCTATCAATAGATACCGAGAAAAAGAAAACGTATTAAAATGAATAGTGAAAAGCACTATAGTCGTGAAGCAGTACTCTTTTATCATTGTTGTAGTGATTGGAAGAAAGATATAACTATAACCAAGGGTGGATTTGACTGTTATAGAGACAGAAATACGAAAAATGACTCTTGGCAGTGAACCAAGTGATGGGGTCCAGTCTGATCGGTCAAGTTCTTATCGATACTGATGAAGGAAAAAACTCTACCGGTTCTAAAATTCCATCTCAATCTATTGACATACTTGAGAGAAACTAACATAACCAAAAGAAACAATTATTTTTTTAAATTCATGGTGATAAATTTAATGAAGAAATGAACTAATACGTGTCTTCTTTGAGGCTGACACGAGGAACTCACATACATATTTTTACATTAAACATAGTTTTTTGAACTATAGTTGAGATGAATTCTTATAAGAATATAATTTTGTCATGTTCCTATTATGTAACCAATGATTTACTAGCTTGATTTCGGTCTTTAAGAAGGTATGTCAAATTTAAAACTCAAATAAATTATAAACTTGATATTGGCTTCTATCGGTCATAATTAAACTCGTAATTGATTTGTTACGAGATGGTAACAAGATTTAATTGTCATAAAAAATCATCTAAATTACACTTTGAATAAACCAGATGTATGAAATATGAATGGTCTCTCTATGGATACACTTAGCCCAAAAACCGAACGTGTAATGGCGTGTTTTAAGCGTGTAAGAATGTATGCTTTGTACGATTTTTTGAAATTCTTTGCCTGACTGGGTAATACACATTTCAAAGAAAAAACAAAGTGGATGGATATTTTTTGTATCATTTTTGATAGAGATAAGCTAGAGAGGTGTGATTTTCATCGTTAGAAAGAGAAGATGAAGGCATATCGAATCATTTTGCATAGACTTTTCTAATTTGTTTTCTTACGTTCTTTTAGTCAGTTTTCCGAAAGAAAGAAGTCTCCCAAAAAATGTCTTTTTTTATCAAGAAACGAAAAGCTAAAAAACGTGTTTTTTATTCTATTAGAATTCCAAGAGATATGGATATAAAGTTTTGTATAGAATACTTATAATTTCTTAATGACGAAACCTAAAGATTTGCATCTTATGCAGCTTTGTAGATCTTCAATTGATGGTTTGAATGCACGCCTGATCATTGAAAATTCATTATAAATAACTTTATGGGGTAGATTTATTTTTAAAAAGGATTGATTGAAAACCTTACAAATTCAGGTTAACAACTTAGTAATTAGAAATCTCATACGTCATCATTTTCTCTATCTAACGATCAAAGAAGTAACACAAAAAAATCCATCTACACCTTTTTTTTTCTTTAAAATAGATACTAGTGTTGTCTTCAGACATCATAACAAACAACTCTTGTCAAAATTGGATTACAAAGAATATTAGTTGAAAAAGGATGTAATATTTCAGAAATGTAAAGCACTGTTTTAACTATCAATGTATATAGAGCGAATATTTCACACTATCTATAAGGTATTAAAGTATCATCGCCAGTACTTTTGCATTACCTTAAGTAGATAACGAAAGTCAAATTAAGACTTATTATGTAGCTATAGATTTTGCTATTATAAAACACGTTCTAAAACATGTTTTATCATGTCGTTTGTGTAACACGACCTAAAAGAAATGTTGAACTATATAGGATAGATATTTGAACTCATTATCTCTATCTTCCTTACAGCTTGTGACATACATCCTAGAAACATGTCACAAACCGTGACGACAGCTCAGCGTCACTATCTCATCATGACTAAAGATAAAAAGATTGCTTGATAATATTTTTCATGCTAGATGTGAAACAATAGTTGCAATTTGGCTTATTTGTATTCAAAGTTCTCTTTTCTGGAAAATCATGGATATAAGTCAAGGATACCATGATCTACGTCAGAGAAAAAATCTGTGAATTCTCTGTGACTAGTTTTAGTCACGACGAATGTTACGGAGTGTTCTATGCCGTATATCATTCTACTCTCGAGTATTATAAGTCATTTCCAAGATGAGAAAATGATGAATACTAAGAGTTGAATAAAATTATTCTTTCATATCTAATATGAAAATAATTATCGAACAATCTTTTTTTTTCTTTGATGACACCGGCCTCTAACGGTGGTAGACAAATCGGAAATCGATCGTAGACGGTGATAGATGACTAAATAACATTCCTCTTTCCGTTACAGATTGTGAAAGAGATTGTTGATACACGATCAAAAGCAGTATATCAATAACGGCTCGTTCTAATATATGAACTATTTCCCTATTGAATTTCTCAAGGATTAAGTAAAAAGATGGTGAAGACATATGTCCGAAAATCAATAGAATAAAGCGACCTGTCTGTGATTAAAAAGAGCAGCGATAACGTGTTCTAATTGTAATCCAACAACAATTTCACTATCACCTACTTTTTCCTTGAATTAGAAAAATAGATAAAAGAGAATAGCATTCCAATCTGGATTTTTTATTTACTTATTATAATTATTAGTTGCACAATAAAGAAGTATCGAGTTTAAAACTCACCAAAAAGACTTTTTCTACGTTTTTTTTTGTTATAAAAAAAACGGTTTTTTTTCTTTCAAAAATTTCAAATTGTTTGTTTAATTTTTTCAAGCATTTCATTATATTCATTAGTGCCAAGTTGATTTTTCATGACTTCCGAACATTTTTTCATAATAGGCTTCCATAAAAGTTCATCATCAGTAAAATATTTCATACATATAAACATAATAATCATGGAAAGTATGACATCATTGTCCTTATGTTTATGATCATTTAGAATTTTTTTAAAATCAATATTTTTGAATATTGAAGTTGGAAGACTTTTTTCTAGAAGTTTGATTATTTGTTCAAGATCATTTATTGACCAGAGTCCATTAAAATTTTGTAAACCAATAATTTGACGAATAATATCAATCTGATTACCAACATTTTGATTTTGCATGGAATCTGATGAACGGCGACGTTGAATAGGAGATCGAGAACGAGATTTTTGTCTAGGTTCTTTGGTCTCTAATAATTTACTATACAGGCGTGGATTTGACTTTGCTTTCGTCTCTATTTCTAAATAACTCTTTCGTTTCGAGTTTCTATAATTAATTTGATCACCTTCGTCAACAACATCTTCATCTTCTTCACCTTCGTCAAAAGCATCTTCATCGTCTTCATCTTCGTCAACAGCACCTTCACCTTCTCCACTTTCGTCAACAGTATCATCCTCGTCTGCTTCTACACAATAATTATCCTCTTCGAAGAAATTTTGCTGATAACACACGCTTGAGATTAGTGTACAATCCTTGGAATCGTCCAATGTATTAGTATTTGATCGAATTTCAATAGGTACTTCGCGAAGTATTATTTCACCTGATGATGCTGCAGCCATTATCTCTTGCTTAGTACATGTTTCAATGCCAATAAATGCCGTGAATGGTGAAAGGATTTGATGTTGAATTGATATATCAATTAGTTCTTGTTTTTTATATTCTTTTTGTTGTTCAATAAAACGAGCTTGATGAGACGATTTTAAATTATAATCCTCCATTTGAAGATCGTTAATAATTGATTTAGCTGCTAAACGAGTAGCAATAAGTGATGATGAAGGTTCCGTTTCAGTAAATGCAACACGTTCAAGTAGATTATCCTATAAAATGATAAGATATATGTATGAAATGATTCAAAGAAAAAGAACAAAATTAACTTACTGTACTTGTTAAAAATTCAATAGATCCTGAAAGTTTTTCTTTTATATTCTTTGGCAACATCACATAAACATTAAGTCGTTGTTTAGCATAAATGGGTGGTATATTCTTTGGTGATATTCGATAGTTTTCATATTCATTATTATTAAAATGACATTGAATTTTAATATTCGTTAAACAAGATTCAAGTACTTTATCTAATTGTCGTGCAACAGCTACATCAACATGAGTATTAGGTGGAATAAAAAGGTATGAACCATTAGTAACTCGTGCTAAACCTTTAACTAGAGAACGACTTGGCGCTGAACCAAGACCAAATGAAAAAATTCGGGTTGTATTTGACATTGAACGACATAGACGAAGTACTTTATCAACATCATCAATTTCACCATCAGTTAAAATAAATAATTGACGTGAATAATTTGTGTTAGGGGGTTCTTTATGTATATGAGATAGAACAGAATAAAGTTCTGTTCCACCTAAATCAGCCTAAATAAACAACAAATATAAAATATGAAAAAAAAGAAACAGAAATATTGTTATCTTACTTTCATACGCTTAATATAATCATGAGCTTTGTTAGCATTTTTTTCATTGTATTCAATAGTAATGTTTTTATTTTCAAATTGTTGATAGGATGAACCAAAACGAATGATATTAAAGTAGGATCCTATAGGTAAACTTTTAAGAAAAATAGACATCGCTTGTTGAGCATAACCGATCTTATTATCATCGCTCATAGATCCACTACAATCGACTACAAAAATATATTCACAATTAATTTTTCCTATTTTATTGTTGTTATGACATAATTCCAATGTTGGTACGAACGATATCATAATAGCTTGTTTTTCAACTAGAGCATATGTAAGACTTTGTTGTTCTTTAAGATCAATATTAAGAATAATATCACGATCAAGATGTGTATTTTCTTGTGCAAGAGAAACATTCATTGTTGGATATTCATCATTACTCGATACTGTTGTAATCTGAATTGGATGAGACGGTGAACCAACAGATGCGATTGGTAACGAAGAAATCGAACAAATGAAAGAAATTGTATACGGTGCTGATTGAACATAATTTGATGTTGTCGATCCAGGAGATTTGATATGACCAACACCATCAGATTTAGAACTATATCGAGGTGCAATTGTTGTTGGTAACACGTATTGTATACGTTGACCATCGTTGATTAATTCAAGTTCTTGTACATAATGAATTTCAATTTCACATTTGGATTGTGGTTTCAGAGAACCTATAAAATATAAAAAAAATTTCTTTTTCAAAAAAAAAGACATCAAACTTTCAAAAAAAGAATATATACCAATACTAATAGTAAAAATATCATTTGACTTTTCATTTTGTTCAAGTAAAAATGCTCCATGTCCTTGTTCTAATGCCTTACAATATTCACATTGTGCTGATTTTTTCTCTTTAATTTGAGCTTGAATCTTTCGACCATCATCCAAATTAGCTTCAAAGCTGTAAATAGCAGCTTGTTCTTCAACAGGAAAACAGTAGACTGCTTCTATTGGATTTAATGTTTCTTCACTATTGATGAATAGTTGTTTGATGCAAACTTCAGCAGCAAATGAATGAATATTTACTTGTACGGAGACATTCTTTAGTGGAACGAATTGGTCTTTGGAATTTCGATGAGTTGAAGAAACTACTTTCAACATGGTGATAGTGATAGTGAAATGAAACTTCTACACTACATCTACCTTATATAGGATTGAGAACAAAAATATTTTATGAAAGTACAGAACCGCAAAAATGACTCATTAAGGAAGTAGAAAACAAACAGAAATGGCAAAACACAGAAAGAACTAGAATGCTGTCAGATCCCACATGACTCATACTCAATTAGCAGATTATGCACTTGGTTTATAATTTCCGTCCAAAAAGTCCTATGTTATAATTTAGGTATCAAAAATTTGTACATTTGATTTGTAGTCGAATGAGGCGTTTCCGATTATCGGCAAGTTTCTGTAAACATGTATTTCAGACCGAAAACATTTTACTTGTGCTGCTCTCTATCATTGTTACCAAAAAAAGGCTAACAGAATGACAATAATATGTTGAAGCAAGTAACGAGTATCTATTAATTTTCCTTCTTTCTCAATTCTCAAGCGTATTATGTAAAAATATCGTGCATTTATTTTTTGGTGCAAGATATCGTATAGATGTCGCTAGTAAGAAGTGCATTTGTCAATGAAAGCAAGGAAGAAACGTCTTTTAATTCCTCTGACCGTATACCAAACGAACAGCAAAAAAAAGTGAAAATGCCCCCGGTGAGGCTCGAACTCACGACATCCGCATTGCTCCGATACTGTGTATAAGTACGGCGCTCTAGTCCAACTGAGCTACGGGGGCTGTGAAGAAGTGAAGGTCGACGAATACACATTAACATCTTTCATAGATCGTAAGTCTTCATATATTCAATTTTACAAATTGATTTAGTAAATGGTCAAATTTTATCACTCACAGAAATTTGAAAAAAATGAAAACATATTTTCTTTTCTTGAGGTTTCTGTTATGAATTTATAATTATGAATAATTTGATTAATCCTTATCTTTTTTCTTGTATTCATGACCTGATTAACATAAATTTAGAGAAAACAAAAGATGCCATATTTATCTGAGCAAATTTAGCTCTATGACATTTTAACATGTTTGAAAAAAGAACACAAAATGAAAATTCTAATATTGTATTTTTCATTATTTTCTTATTTACCAAGCAAAACCAAATTCTATGATTTCAAAGATGAAATAATCATATGAAAATAATCGCATTCAGTATGATTAGAAATTCAAACACATTTATAGATATTATACCACAATCTGTATGATCCACTTTCATCGATACGTTGAGTCAGATGCGTTTAATGCAGCAATCAAGTAAATTTTTTTTTCTCACCGCTTTATATTTATATATCATTCAATAGAGCACAAAAAGTTGAACAGAGTTATCGTATTTTAAAATATATCGCTCCTTGTTTTAGGAAAAAACAACAGAGTAGAAAAGTATAGAAAAGAGTTCAAAACAGATTAAAAAAAACGAGTTTTCGTCGGAGATTTTCAAATTTTTGTTACGCAAATTTCAGTCACTTTTTAAATGGACTCTTCTCTAATTCAGCATTAATATTATTATTTAAATGAGTTTGATATGGAAATGTTGTTCGACATTTCTCTATATTTCATTTTGCTGTTGAGAAAATCTCGCTTTAGTTCTCTACATTAAAATTGTAAAACAGTATACACATACTTATTTAATTTTATTCTTACTTTTTCGCGATATAAAAAAAACAGATAAAATTTAGGAAGTAGAGTAAAAAACCACAACGCGTCATATATATTTTTTTTTGTGAGATTACGCTGACACTCCTTCCACGTTTCAGATTAGTGTTCCGCGTAGGACGGTAGGGAAAATTTTCCGTCATATTTCATTTTATAGGGCTTTATACTTTTCGAATATTAAAAAGAAATTTGTGCACACATCTATCGTTTACTTTAATACTACCAAATTTTATATCATTTCATTTTGTAGTTGATAATTTTATGATAAACAAGTTTACATTTCGGCAAGAAATATATCTATTTCGAAACGATTTGATTATTCTTAATAAAAAAAGATTGCTGTAAAATACGTTTCTCTCATAGAATTCCGTGAAATGGAATAGGATGATATTGTCCCATTCCAAACGGAGCCCTACTTCCGATGTAATTTTTTTTTGAAAATTTATCCTTTGGCCTTCAGTTTTATTTGGTTTTTTTACATCACAAAAAATTAAGGTAAAATGAAGTAAGTGTGGGTAGATCTTTGTCAGAATTTTAGCGTTAACGTAGAATGCGATTTTCTCAACAATAAAACAAAATCTAGAAAAGCTAACAGAGCAAGTTTGAAAGTTAATATCTAACAATTCTAATGAGATATGATATTTGGTTCTATATCTTAATGCGACAAATTAGAAGGGTGTATAAATCTGTCTATGGATATCATAAAAACGTGTTTGAATGGTCTTCTGAGACAGAGTGATATCGACGAACTCTTCTGTTTCAAACTTCTGTAAACAGCATTTTTCATGCTGCAAAAACAGTCCTTTTAAAATATTATTCAAATTTAAATAACAAAAATTATGGATTTAAACATAATACATCTCTGAGTAGATTACCACACTCTATGGAATAGTATATAAAGAAGCGAGAAGAAAGTTCACTTGACTTTTGCATTATGTACATCTAACAAATAGTGCTGTACTGGTTTTTTGACTGATTTTTATTAGTTAACGAGTCATTCGAGATCATCGAGATGTTTAATAAATTAATATCTAACTATAAATAATATGACATCATGTATAGATGACAGTAAAATAGCATAAATTAGGAACATTACTTGTTCCGAAGAGCAAATTTGAACAAACTTGAATTCAATTGACATTATTCAGTTAAGTGTAGATTAGACAATTCATTGTTAAGTTATCTAGTACATTAATGAAGTTTTATATCATATTTGACTGGTTAATTTTCAACCAGTTGAGTTATTGAAAATCAATTGGATTCAATTCAAATACTTGCTATTTATTGACATAGAAGACAAACCTAAAAAATTTTTTTTTTTGCATTTGATTCATATGATTATAGAAATCACTGTAGGAATTTCTTTGAGATTAATATTTTAGTGAAATTACTATAGATTTATTTTTTATATTATAATTAATACAAAGAAATATTCATGTTGATTTAGTAATTATTGAAAATTTTACAATATTGTTTAGTAGCTTTGTTCAATTATGTTAAATAATATTCTCACATACTGGTTTATGTCTTTAGACGAGTAGCAAGTGCTTGTTCAATTGAATTAAGTGTTAAGAGTGATCGATGAGATATCGGTTTATCATACAGGTATTTATAGTTTATTTGATTCATTTGAAGGTAAGGCATTAATGTTAGTTTGACTTAAATCGAAAGAATTATACATACTTGAACAAAAGACATGTCTTCAAAAACAACTATTTTTCTTGTATTTTTTTACTCAAATTTTTACATATATTCAAGTTGATAAACTACATGACCATGTTTGATAGCTCTAAGTTTTATGAAAGATAAAGAGACGATGTTTCTCTAGCATAAACAACGAAACATTTATGCAGCATCGGATTGTTTAACATGAAACTCGAAAAATTTTCCCTTAAATTTAACGTAAAACTTGACTGTTTCTTTTTTTTTGAAAGAACGATCCAAACCTAAATCTCGTTTCCAACAAAACATTAAATGAAAGCAATCAAGAAATTTAGCTTGAAGAACACAATTTTGATTTTCTTTTTGAGAAATAAAAGTGTAGACGAACGAAAAAAAAATATTATAATGGATAATCTTTTTAAAGTAAAAATCTTTCATTATTTTGATAAGAATACTTAGACTTACTCTCGATGCATTTTACGAGAAAAAAAGTAATCATATAAGCATTGGTTTTAACTAATGAAGACCAAATAATCAAATCTAATCAATTTCGCTCGATCGGTTATAACTCTTCAATGATATCTATTTAAATTTTATTATGTTTTAACATCTACGAAAAAAATTTAATGGTTCATTAATTGATCAAAAACATTGTATAAGAGCTTAATCTGATGACGAAAATTCACTACTTGATAAATTACTTTTGAATCGAGATTATGTATATCATGTAGGCCCAAATGAGCTGTAAAAATCCTGGAAATAATTCGTACCCTTCGCTTATTGTTGCGATGTGATATGGCACTTTTACGACTTATTAAAAATAAATTTAGTGGTGACAGAAAAACTAATGTTCAAATTTCAACTTGAAAATTTGCATATAG